AGGGCGACGAGCAGACGGAGGTAAATATTCTTGTCGTACTTTTCTTTGCAGTTAGAAACGGCTGATGATGTTGCACTAGGTCTCTTCTTGTTCTTCTTGACCCACTTCCGGTTATACGGCGGAAAGAGTCGGCGCTTTATTTCCGGACGGTGCAGATCGGGGAAGAGAGCATGTCCCGCGCCGGCAGGGGATTCACGAACAATACCACGACCGCCTGCTGATCCTCCCGGGGGAGAGGTACAAGGAGCAGGGAGGTTATTGCTGTCGTTCTCAGCATGGTTTTTTCGGTTTGAAGCCGTATCCTCTGCGGGCATGTTGATATCTTTTTCCAGCCCAGCAACACGATCATCTGCCGCTCCTCCTTCCGGACCGTCTTCTTCACCCCCCGCCCAAAAAGCCCACCACAGCGGATCCCCTTTCACTTCCATGTCGCCTGTGGGCGCCACATTTTTTGTCGTCGCGCCACTGTTTGCAAGTATCCTGTTGCGAGTAGTACAGCCGTCCTTTAATATTTCCTCGCCAGTGGTACAGCGTCCACTTTGCAGCTGCGCGCTAGAATTATACAGCCCGGAAGTAGAACTGTACTGCTTCCGCGCCCTCCATTCCACCATCTCCAAATGCTCTTCCACCAGCTTCGCCGCCAAGGCTTCGACTTTGGATTCGAACAGCCACCTGCGCCGGAGCCTTTCCTTCCGTTTGGCAATTTCCATGGGGTGTCTGAAGTCAAACAACAGCCTCGCGAGGCTGCGGTGCTTCGACATCATCGCATCGGAAAAATCGCGGTCGCGCCAGCTCGCGGCCTCCGTCTCCGCCAGTTTACTCAGCGCTTCCAACTGCGGCAGAAGGCTTTCGATATCCTGTGTAAAAACGTCCCAAGAGCCCCACAGTCATAAGCTGAGAGCTGAGCAACACAGATCCAGAAAATAAGCATGGCTGTTGCAGCGCTTGAAGACAAATTTCTTGGGCTCGCAATGTAATTATCCTATGTAGCAGCTAGTGCAGCCGCATGGACAATCGATACGACCCTTATGTCCTGATTCTAGCATGACCACAAACTCCCATACAGCATTGGAATGAAATACCTGCAATGCTCATGATGTGGCAGCACATGAGAAATAACTACTTAGGCATGCAGATTTTCCGGACAACTCTGGGATCATGGTGACCACGTTTTTACACTGCATATTCGGCGAGAATTCGTTGTCGAAAATTTTCTTCCGCAACGGAGAGTGAGGAAGAGCTGGACGAGGCCCGCGTCCATTGTGACACAGTCCTCATTCCCGCGTTGTCATACAAAAGCTTTTGCTGCTCCAAAGTCAACCCCTCCCGGCCATAGTCGATGGCTCCGGGGACATCCAGGAAAGGCCCGCCGGGGGACGCTGTTGCATACCAAGCCTTTCTGTAGTTGTTCCCATGCTGGTGGACCGCCGGAAAAAGCGCGGGGCTGTCTGCCTGGTGATGGTCAATCGTGGAGAGAGGCAGTGCAGCGGAGGATGATGATGGTTCTTGCACAGCTAGTACGGCGGGATCATCTTCCTGCTGAATTCTTGACATCCATGCAGGCTTTAATATTTTCCGCCCGAACCACGAGGCGAGCGCATGCATCTTTTCCTGCGCAGAATCCTGGGTCGTGTGTCTCGCCCCCTGCAGTGCCGCGGAACCGACCAAAAAGGGCTTTTGCGGTGGCACAGTACAAACCAAGCTCGGGTCTCGGGTGTAGTACTCCTCTGCGGTCGTGTAGTAATTTTCCCCAGTTCCTCTCGCAGTCATGGTGGTCTGCGTCGTGCGGTTTTTCTTGACAGCGTTGTTTGGCATTGGCACAGGCCCCCCGTCCTTGCAGCTAGTACGGACGGGGAACAAGTTTTGCGTGCAGGACCGAAGAACAGCCACTTTATCCGCTTCGTCTCCGGGCCACGCTGGGGTTCGCCCCCGCACGACCAAATCGCTCAGCCGGGTTGGTACGCGATTAACATTGGCCGAATCCAACAATAGCGGCACCGGCGGCGCGTCGGGTTTTCTGCCGCCGGCGTCTGGAGAAGCGAGAGGGGAACTAGGAGCGTATTGTGGTGGAAATCACGATCAGTAGCGTTGGGTCTAATGAGATTGTCGTAAATCAGAAACATGCCTAACCACGACATCCCCCACCAGACACTTTCAACACATGAAATAATTACTGATATCTGGCGTCAGTTCGATTTCTGTTGAAGACCGTAGTCTGTCCTCGCATGTTCAATTATATCTCAGGAGACATATAACGAAGTCAGCACCATATTTTTCACCATCAGACCTAACTTTTGACCAGTGTGTCATGACACGCGCATAAAAATACAAGCTCTCCTCGCCGCGAATTCAACAGTCTTGTTGTTCCCGCGCCTGCCGCGTTGCTCTTCCTAGCGCGGCGCTTCGTGGGAGCACCGCTGGAAGTATCTTTGAGAGGCACGTGGTACTTTTTCATTTCGCGCCTCTTTGACTTCTTTATTCTTGGTGCTCCGGGCTTTTTTTGGGGCGTCCTTCCGTCGAATATGACCGGATCCCGAGGCACCGCATCATGCCCTACCTCGTCACGACCACAAGCACTGGGACCCAGACCGACCGCTCCTTCGTTCTCCGTGCGGCAAACAACGGGTCGGTTAGTATCGCCACTGGAAGAACGGCGCGGGACATCAGGAGCAGGTGCTGCACCACTACAACCGGGCACGGGGACGTCGATTGGAGGTGTGCTACCTTTCTGGCTCGCGACCTTCTCCGACACTTGCGTGGAGCTTTGACCGGTTTTGCTGCTACTAGTAAAAGTCGTGCTGGGCGGTAGTTTATGCCGATTCCGATAAAACTCGATCTCTAGGTCCTCTGCTGGGAGGATGCATTTATACACTTGTGATCATGCTCACTCACTACGAGTCAGACAAAATTCTTCTTTACATGCGTAAGAGTGTCATGCTGGGCGGCCTTGCATAATTCCAGACATGGCCAGGTACTAGATTCAACAGACTGCATGACAATAACAACCATCTGCGGTCTACTTCCAGCTGAACCTGGTATCATCATTTTTGCAATTACATACAGCTGGCCGACGGGAAACGGCGTCATTCGTTTTTCGGTCCGAGGCGGGAAACAGGCCGGCCCGTAGTTCTGCCCCCGGCGCGAAAACGAAAACGCGGACTCAAATGTGTTTGCCGGATCGGTGTTGAAAATTGCGAAAGCCGACCCACCAAAAGAGTTGTTTTCCATGTACAACGAATTGCGAGATTCAGCGCGCTGCAAATTGGAGTTACCGCTGCCGCTCCGACTGGACGAGATAATATTTCCTGCCGGGCCAGCTGCGAACGAAACATTCGGGTTGGACGCTTGGGAAACCGCGGGAGGTGGAAGAAAAAACTCGGGGGCCCCTGTAGTTGTACTACCCCGTTCATCTTGCACAACCCCAACTGCATGTGGTGGAGCGCGGGTGTTGCTATATTCCACTGCGCGGCTGGAGGAGCTCGAGCAACTTGAGCTACTAGAACTTGATGAACTATGGTTATTTCCACTAAAAACGCTAGACCTCCGGGCTGTGTCGTTCGCTTTTGGTTTTGTCGCTCCTCTGTTCCTTACCACATTAAACGGCACAACAACCTCCGGCAGCCACAGACCGCGGGATGAAGTCTGGGGCGGAGGAACTACAACTTCCGCGTTAGCTGTGTTTGCTGTCGTCCCGCATGATGGAGGTGGACTAGCTGCGGGAGCAGCGTGGTTGGGTACCGGCTGCGCTTGGTCGTTCTGCTCGTAATTAACATTTCTGTCGTCTCTGCGACAGCTCGACGAGCTGCTACTGCTGCAGCCGGTGTTTGTCCCGCCGCCAAAGGGCGGTTGTAGTGGCAGCTCCTTCTTGTTGCCACTACTCATGCTGGGCTCTACTATGTACTTGCCGACGAAGCTACTTCGGTATCGATAGAAGCAGCCCCGGTGTGGTGCCAGATTTTCTCCGGCTGCTCGACAAAAGGAGAGATGGGTACTACTATTCCACCTCACTCCCTAAAACCGCGCGTGGACGGGGTGAGTATCAAAAAGTGCGCAAGTTGACAACGATCGATCCCCTCCTCGTGAGGAAGAAATTATCATACTCATCTCCAGCGGTGCCGTTTCCAGCGATATTGTCGTTTTTCAGCGCCCCCTGAGGTCGGTGTCCTTCTCGGCATGGCTACACTGACGTACCGGTTTTAGAAGTGCGACCCATGTCTGATATTGACCCGTGGGGTGCTGGCGTTCTCAACTATCTGCTCCGCCCGTATCTTACAGGTGCGGCTTTTGCCGCGGCGAGACGGATATATATCCGTGGTGAACGGCATCGCAACAACCGCAAGCGTACCCGTGTCTCCATATGCCCCGAAGTTGTGCCGTGTGATTCCTCGAGGTTTTGAATTCAGTGCTTCGTCTTTGCACATGTTCTTTATCGAAAAGGCATCTAGCGTACTACTGGATCGAAGGAAAAGAGGGGAACTTTGCCCCAATCTTAATTCAGTACTGCATTCAATCATGGAACTACATGAATGCTATGAGCACCAAGGGTACAACTACGCGACACTCTAGAAGCGGCTACTTCGTTTAAAATCCACCTTCACCGCACAAAAAAACGCTTGGCCAGCGTCCCTCACTTCAGAACCATTCACGTGTCTAAAAACGATTGCCAAAACGTGGCCGCGAATAAAAATTTCTCTTGGCACAAAAATGCCGCCGCGCCCTCCTCTCTTTCGCCGACGTCGATTATTCAGAACCAAAAAAAAAAGGAAACGCCGCGCGTAAGGCAACGACATGAAACATCAACATGCTCGCGTTTCGCGTCAGAAGGTGATCGTGGATCCATCTTGGGTTTATCAAAAACCGCTACTCAAGTCACTGATCCCGATCTGCTTCGCTTGATCTTGAAAAGTTGTCGCAGTGACCTTTCACGAGAACAAACTCACGGCATCATGCACTACGTCAACTGCATCGACGCGCACATGTAAACGGCAACTTATTTCTCCCTGCGTTCTGCTGGGAGAACTTTTCTTTTGTTTATTTGGTACTTTTAGCTTCATCTCCTCAACTCAAATAACATCGTACAAGTGGTTTATTGTCCAACAGATGTCAGAGAGCTCATTCCCAGTTCATAGAGCTTTCTGCTGTTAGCAGGAGCTCCTTTAGTAGAGAAGAGTCAAACAAATTCGTATTGTACAAACGTTTAACAACAAAGTCCAGAAGCCGATAGTAAAAATCCCAAACTAACTAAGCGCCGCTCTACTAGCGCTTCATGCATTTTACAGATTCTGTTTCCTCTCGTCGTGGTCCCCGCTTTTCTTAATACCCCTCGCGGTATTCGCTCGCGTTGAAATTGAGCACGCGCCCTTTCTGGTCCATTTTCGGAATTGGGACGATCGGGACTTCTCTTGCAGGCCGAAATGGCTTATCAAATGTAAAAATGTCTGGGTCTGGAACAAAGCAATCTGTCATGCTTAACAGACTGCGCGACAAAGCAATCTGTCATGCTAAATCTCAATCATATAAAAATCTGTGTTGCATGATTCCCAAAAGCTGTTCGCTTTTGACCTATATCGAGAGGCAGTTTCTCATGCAGGATAGGCATGATAGAACGCTCACAGAATCTGTCATGCTATGTCCTGCATACCAGACCTCATGGGTCATGCAAAATATGCATGACAAACGCGGCACTCTTCCAGACCCAGACATTTTTGCATTTCATATGGCTCGGGCGGGTACATTTTCTGTTGTATAATTGCATATCGATTCCTACGATTTTTTCGTATTGCATAACAGCCAGAAATACCTTAATTTCTCATGCACCGGTCCAAGCACTATGTATTTCATGCAATCGCCTTCAACCACAAAAGTTGAAAAATACGTTGGTGACAATATCATGTCGTTTCACGCGTTCCGGATTCTCCGCAACTTCCAATTTCCAATACTGATCCTTGTAACCCACCAAATTTGCCATGTTGGTATCCGAAAATTGTTGCGTTGTGACGCCCGCGGGTCTGTGATTTTTTGGAAGATCATGTGTGTTCGCATCAAGAACAAAGTTCTCTGGAGGGAACGAGAGAAACTACATTCGAATCGAAACTCTTGCAGTGTGAAATCCAAATTCATCCTGTCTCACACAACAACGACGACCAAAAGGTTGCTGTAGAGGAGCAGCCAAAGGCACATCTACACGACCGTGCTTCAAATACCTTTGGTCGATGGTGTTCTCCACCGTCGGTCCCTTCAGTTTGTGTGGTTCCTTGGGGAGAAAGAACAAATTTTTTCTCGTCTGGTAGCGCCCGGAGCCGCGCAGGGTGGTCTCCGCGCCCGGTGGGTACCGGTGGTCCGCGAGCGGGTACAGTTCCGGAAATCCGTCCGCTGGGAAGGCGGTCGGTGGCTTGCTCGCGGAAGACGAGGGCGCTGCGGCCATTGTGACGATGTGGTGATGAGTTTCTAGTGAGGCGGGGGGAAACAGGCGAAGGTGGGATCTAATTGCTGAAATTAGAAGTTTGTGTTGGTTGAGGCACTTATCTCTTGCATTTGTTCCGATACTGTTGCTGTACAAGTGCTGCAGAAGCATGAATCGAAGCCTGCATCGAGTAGGCATAGACGGTCTCTCACTCTCACTGTCGTTAGGTATGTAGTGCGTGCGTGCCTCTCAGAACCGGTTGCGCGAACACCGCACGAGTCGACCGAAGATGAGGAGGCCCGACACGCCAAGGTAAAAGCAGCCTCCGGCAACTACCTCGAATGGCGGCGCCAAAAGCTGGCGGTAGAAAAAAATCGCTACCCTCGCAAAGCGGAAGTTGCTATAGGGCACCAACGCGGCAGCGCGGTGCCGGGCAGCCAATCCAGCGGGCCGGCCGGGGCGCCGGTTCGCCCCGGCGCCTCCCCCTTCCGGAGCCGGACGGGGCCGCAACCAGAGGGCGCCTTGGGCCAGAAAAACCTGCGGGCCGCTGGCCTGGCGCGGCCGCCCTCCTTGGCGGGCCGGCGGCCACTCGCGCCCCCTGTACTGGGGCCCGCCGGTGCGATGTCGCGGGCCCTTCCCTTGGGAAGGGAAAAGGCGGCGGGCTGCGCTCCCCGCGGGGGCGGGCCGCGGCGCGGCGCCTGGTCGGCAAGCGCGCGCCGCGCTGGCCCGCTGATTGCGCGCCGGCGGCTGGGTTCGCCGCGGCCAGGGACGTCGCCCGCGCGCCTTAGCGGCGCCCCGCCTTGCTTTTATTTTGCACACAAGGGCGCCCGCCCATCCCGTGTCGTTCTCCGCGTTGCCGCCTGGCGAATGCCCCGGCGCCGGCAGCAGGCCTGCAGAAGGCTTCCCCCTTTGCGCTCCGAGCCCCCTGCTAGTTGGCCGCCTCCATTACGTGCCGCGGCGAATACGTTCGCCGTAGCCCCCTGGCCATCCGTAGCCCACTACCCGCCACCGCGTCGCCCCGCAAACATCTGCGCGACCGCCATCCCCGTGGTCTGGATCTGGCAGCAGGGCCATCTCGGTAGTGGTGTGCTTGGAGGGATGCCGCAGCCGCACGGCAAGCACTTACAGGCGTCGCCAAAGCAGTAGACCACACCGGCCGACCAACCTGGGCCAGGCGGGAGGCGCATGTCTGCGCAGTGGGTCCCCAGTGATCCAATCGGTCTCGAATGTCTAGCCATGTGGCCACAAGTCGGGGAGCGCCGCGAATGAAGCCCAGGGAAGAAATCGAAAGAGCACCGCGGCCAATCGCCCGCCGTCTCCAGGCGGGCCGCCATTTTTGGCGGGCCTTTCTCGCCGGCGGCGATGGCGCGGGCTTTTCCGCAGCTCCGCCGCTTCTTTGCTCTCCTTTTTCTCCGGGGGAAACTTTTGCGAAGGTCCTCGGAGGGGAGGCCTTTCTCTTCCGATTTTCCCGCGGCCTGTGTCGGCGCCTTGTTGTTGCTCTCGCTTTTCAAATTATTCAAAATGTTAAATTAAGCGCGTCCTAAGTGTGTGAACTCGAAGGGAACACAAAAACTCTAGCTAAAGCCTAAAGCTTTAGCCCTCTAAGCGCAGGGCTCGAGAAGATCTCAATCTTCGACCTAGAACACGTAGGTGTGTAAACAATCAAGCACAATCTAATATCCGAGCGACCCGTACTGAAAAGTGGCCCGCGACGCTGCGGCGCTTTCTTTCTCCTTCGCTTGATATCCTTTCATGTTACTACACTTTTAAGCCGTCTGCTGTCATGACATTTGTCGAGTTTTCCGAAACCTGTACCAAAATCCTCAACCTCCGCGCGAAGCCATCGAGGAATGAATTCACGATTTGATGCAGAGGCTATTGCCTGAAAGTTACGGCTGCACCAGATGCACCATGAAACGACTACATCCAATGCATTTACAAGAAACAGTAAACTCGGGCAATCTATCCTACAACAGAAGCAGAAGTTACTTCTTGTTCTTTCTCGCAAATCATCATTTTCAAAGCTCTACAACTTGCCCCTTAACCACCCTAAAGCAGCAGGGCCCGAAATCAAATACCGTCGAAACAGAAACAAACTTCGCGAGTAGTTGTGCTAATATTAAACTCCAATCATCAATTTCGCAGCTGCTGTTCCTCGTGACCATTGGCGAGCCGAGTAACATTACGCCAAGCAATCGCGAGCAACAGTTCACTTGCGCTAATACAATTCTATCAGGTGAGTGTGTGTCGAAAAATGAGAATCAGTAAAAAATTTCCTCGTAATAGTACTTCCACGTGCGCCCCCGTAGTACAGAAAAAATCGCATTGTTCCCTATTGAATTTCGCCGATTATTGTTGTTGAATTCGCATTACCGTCGATAAAATCTTTATACAAGAAATAGCTGTGGCCGCAACGCACCACAATGGCTGAGCATTTTCCAGAGGCATTAGCAGTGTAGCAGTTCTGCGTAAAATGAAAACATTTTGAGGATGTTATAGTAAAAAAGGAAAATTAGCAGCGAAGTGGAGCCTCCTCCTCTCCCGGAGAAAAAATCCATCCACACTCCAACTCGCATAAATCTGGCCCACCTTCAACGTCTCGGCAAACAAAACTCCGCAGCATTTTTCCAAATCGCGCCAGCCTTCCACGGCTGTCTACTCAAATCTTCGCCGCGTTCAAAATGATGTTGTTTTGCAAGAGAAAGTCCAGTTTCAGTTGCTCCTGCAGCTTCCGCGACTTCAGAATCTTCTCCCCGCCGCACAGGTAAAAAACCGCCAGGATTCGGTTGGAAATCCGAGGCGTCGGAAAGAATTCCGAGAACTGCAGCGCGACCTCTTTGGACCGGGGGAAAAGCGTCTCAAATGCAAAAATATCTGGGTCTGGAAAAGTGTAGACCTGTCATGCAGATTTTCCATGACCCATGAGGTCTGGAATGCGGCTCTCAGCATGACAGACTCTGCGAGGTCTCTGCCATGCCTATCCTGCATGAGAAACTCCCTTCCAACTTGGTCAAAAGTGGACAGCTTTTGGCACTCATGCAACACAGATTTTCGCATGCTTCAGATTCACCATGACAAGTTGCAACCTTCCAGACCCAGACATTTTTACAATCCATAAAGCGGTTCCAGGTCCGAACTGCGGTAGGTTTCGTCCACGTGCTCTAGGTATCAAATGCAAATATGTCTGGGTCTGGAAGAATGCAAACTTCTCATGCATATCTTCCATGCCCCATGAGGTTTGGAATGCAGGACCTAGCGTGACAGGTTCTGCGACGTTCCTATGATGCCTATCCTGCATGACAAACTGCCTTTAAACTTGTTCAAAACTGCACAGCTTGTGGTAGTCATGCAACACAAATTTTTGTATGATCCAGACAGAGCATGACAAGTTCGCATCCTCCCAGAGGACCCAGACAAATTTGCAATGCATACTAGGATCAGCCGCCACTCCGGCTCCTGGAACTGTTGCAGGAAGGGTATACTGAGCAAAAACGTCCCAACCCCAGAGTTGTCATGCAGATTTGCAATCGCAGGAAAACTTGTAATGCGCTTCCCCATGACAGGTATTTTCAATTCTGTATATTGAACTTGTGATGCGGTAAACAGGATACCAGGATGGCGCTGTGATGCGGCCGTCCTTGCTAGCCCGCATTACAGTACAGAGAAAAGTTTGTCATGCGTGACTCCCAAAACTTCTGGATCTGCGTTGCAGAATTGCCATCTTGACTCTGGGATGGGGACGTTTTTACACAGGATAAAGGGCGTAAAATTCGGTCCCTTCTCGTGGAGCTGACCAAGGAGGAGATTCGTCAGCCCTTGGCCCAGCTTCTTCGGTTTTCCGCCGTCGTGCTTGCTGTGGGACGCGGTGTTGCCGCTAGAGTTGTCGGAGGACGTCGCTATGGCGAGCTTTCTGCTGGTCCGATTTTTCGCCGCGTGCTTGCGCTCCTTCTGGATCTGCTCGCTGTCGAAAGGGCGGAGACCTGTGATACGGTTTTTGATTACTTAATTGCCAGCAAAAACTTACCATGCATAATCTCCTCTACAAACAAGAACAAACATATCCCATTTATTTCGCAAAACACAAACTAAGTAAAAGTCACAATTTGTATACCGATCAGCGTCAGCGTGTCTGCTAACAGCATGGTCTTTATTCTCCGATCTAATGGCGAACTCGATGACAACGACGGCGACACGTTTACTTCCAGCAGCCACGGCCTCCTGTTCGCGTCTAGCAAAACGTCGAAGCCGTAGATCTCGAAGCACGGACTTGTGTTGCTCTGGTCCCCCACTGTCGAACCAGAACTTCCGTCCTTGTTCCCTGAACTATTACCATTACCCCCTCCGCTGTTCGCCACCACATCGTCCAGATTCGTACTCCTGTGCAGCGTGGAAACAATAATCGGCTCGACCGCGATGGCCGCTTTCACGACTAAAGCCTTGACCTCCGAGAAACACTTTTCGTAATCCCAGTATGCATTGCAAAACAATCGCAGTCGTACTAGTATGAATTGCATGACAAACTTTCGCAAAACCAAATATGAACTCCGTCATGCTGATTTTTCTTTGCAAATCGGATTTTGTCATGCCAGACTGCGAAAAATACCTTTACAATGCATACCCACCCCTGCTGGTTGAAGTACTCTTCTAGCTGCGACAGGGACCACTTCGATTCCGGGCCTTCGTTTTCCAAATCTTCTTCCTTATGCATTGCAAACATGTCTGAGCCTGGAAACTTGTAATGCTGGGGTGGGAATACTAGTGAATGCTCTGTTAAATGCACAGCCAAGCATGAGAAGTAGTGCGCGCTGCTTGGTGTTGCAGTTTCCGCATGACAAGCTGCGTTTTTGCATGACAAGCAAAAGGATCTCTTCTTGGACACGCATCACACGTTCATCAGTCATGCCAGACAAGCATGACAAACCTCGCATCCTGCCAGGCCCAGACGTATTTGCAGTTGATATTCCTCCCCGCAAAACGATTCGTTTTCGGAGTCCTGGTCTTCGATATCTACATCCTCCTGGTCGCCGGGCTCTTCCGGCGGTTCCGTTGGGTCGTTCTCGTCTTCGTTCTCCGAGCCCAGCGTAATGTCTTCGTCCTGGTCTTGCGGTTCTTGGCCTCTTGTTGTACCAGCGGTAATTATGGTGCCACTAGGCGTGGACGCGCGCGTCTGCTTTTGCGGGGAAGTGGCGGTCGATGTGGAGCTGGTGCGGGGGGCGGCTGATAGAAGTGCAGTAGATTTTTGTAATGCTTTCAAGGGAAAAAAATGAAAACTTCACGTAATTTCTTAGCACCCTTTATTGCCATGAGATGAAATAAACGATGAAACACTGCAACACGACATCGAAATCCGTATCAATACCTCCATCCATGTTCTTTTTGTAATTTGTCGCGTTTTTGTTCACGGAGTAGTTTGTCAGATGCACCTTTCTGGACCGCAAATCTGATTTCCTTTCTGCCGAGTACTTTTCCGTCGCGAACCGCACCAATCCCTCCCGGAACAAGTAGATCTTCAAGGGGTCGAAGCTGGTGATCACCACGTAAATCCGCAAATCAAACTTGTAGCCCTTGATCAGCAGCGGCGGATTCACGTACTTCTGCACCACTCTGTACTGCTTCGCCATCTTCTCCAGCCCGTTGCTGTTATGCACTGCAAAAGCATCGTACTAGTGGTAATCGCATTACAAATTCGCTCAGCATGACGACTGGAATTTGTGATGCTGTTTTACCTCGGGATGAAAATTTGTAATGCATGACTGCGATTACTAAGAGTGGATACTTTTGCAATGCATAGCTGTGCGACCCGATCAATTTGATCCCTTTTCCGCAGGAGGAGTTCACCGGCTTCGAGATCCAGAGGTCGGACTTGATTTTCGCGTTGCTGGAGGACGAGCTGTTCTTGTTAGGATTTCCTCCTTTCATATGCAAGAAAAGAACTGTGTAAGTGTAAATCTGTGATGCAGAAAATGCAAAACAGTTACACTTGTCATGCTCAACATGCATGATCGGGTTGCTTCCTGTGTGTTTTCCCTTCCTATCTGCGCATAACAAGTTTTTCCTGTCATGGCAGACCAACTTGTGATGCTGTTTTCCCATCAAAAGACTTACACTAAAACATTTTTTTTCTTGGATATTTCAACACTTCCAAAAACTTCTTCCCGTCCTCTGGAAGGATAAACGTCTCCGGTGTGATGTCAAACTCGTTGATATACTGCCGCTTCATCCTCATGATGTTCCGGCACATCAAGTCTTTCCGACCCAAATACCAGGAGTAGGGGAAGTGGTTGGTCCGTTGCAGGCTGTTATGCACTGCAAAAGCATCGCACTCAGTATTTCAATCGCAACTATGCATGACAGATCTGCGTTCCTACCAAACTCCGCATGAGAAATTGCAGCTTTTTTCCTGAAGAGATTTGTCATGCGATTTACACTTCTGCGATTCTTTTGCATTGCATAGCTGTGCATCTGCCGCAGCTTCTCCGGCTTGAAGTGGCCGTTCCAAATTAACGAGTACCGGGGGTGAGTCGACTCAATTTTGCTGTCGTAGTACTGCAAACCCCCTTTCTTCATGGAATTCAAAACACAATTGTACACGTGTACCTTGTATGGAATGCAAACATGTCTGGGTCTGGAAGGATGCAAGGTCTGTCTTGCTTGTCCGGCATGTATGCGTGTCCAAGAAGAAACCCTTTTGCTTGTCATGCAAAACGGAGCTTGTCATGCGGAAATCGCAACACTAAGCAGCGCGCATATTATTTCTCATGCTTGGCTGTGCATTAAAGAGAGTTCTCTATTCACAAGTCAGCATTACAACTTTCCAGACCCAGACATTTTTGCAATCCATACCTTGTTCGTGTGCAGCCAGTACATGGTCGGGATTTTCGTCCCGTTAAGATTTTTATCAAATGCAAATATCCCTGGATGTCTGGAAACTTGTGATGCTGGGTGGCGTATCATGAGGCGGCCACAAGTGCTGGCTCAGCATGACAAATTTCTGAGCTTCTAGGTGCTAGCTATGCCTATTCTACTGCATGACAAACCGCTTTTCTGCATGACAGAAAAGTGGGGCTCTTGGGTAACGCGCATGACAGACTTTGGGGTCATGCTGGCAGAGCATGACAGACCTCCCATTCTTCCAGACCCAGACATTTTTACAATCCATAATTTTTGAAAATCCTCGCGTTCTTCGCCTTCTCCGCTAGTCTATCCGCCGTTATGCAAGAAAAAAACTGTGTAAGTGTAAATTTGTGTTGCAGAACATGCAACAGAGTTGCGCCTGTCATGCCAGACAGCCATGGAGTCCTCTTTTCATGTGTGTTTTCCCTTACAAGCCACGCATGACAGGTGTTCTCTGTCATGTAGAGCAAATTTGTGATGCTGTTTCCCAAAGAAAGTTACACTTACACACTTTTTTCCTGTGATAGCCGTGTTGAACCGATTACTATTTTGCTGCTGATGTTGATGTTCTTGTTCCGTCAAGCTTGAAGATGTCAAAACCGCGGAAGATTTCACCATGACTCGTGGATATTGCATCTGGTTCGGGTATTCAAAGTACACCGTGGGGCCGAGGAACTGGGGAAAGGCGGACTCGAGCAAGGAAACCGTGTCCGACTGCGGGTGCCGGTTCGCCATGATCCTGCCCTTCTTCGTCTTTTTGTTCAGCGTTGCAATCCCAGCAGCGGTGGTCGTCGGCCCGCCGTTGGACTTTCGAACTTGGTGATAGTTGCTCACAACTTGTTCACCCGCGGCAGGAACAACAGCGCCAGCATTCGTCGTTGTCGTCGTGTTAGAAACGGAGCTGGTTCTGCTGTCCGGGCGGGAATTGGAGGCTCCGCCACCCGGGTTTAATATTTGTTCCTGCTGTTCCAAATTCTCATCACCTCCGTCCGTCACGATTCCCATTTGCTTCCGCAACTGTGCTTCCTTCATCAGCTGCCTGGCGAGCAATCCCCGGGGCGTCGTGTTGTTTTTCGTGAAGTCTTGCTCTTCGAATTGCTCTTCTGTATCGGTGAAAACCTCGGTCTTGAATAAACCATTCGATGCAGCTGCTGCTGCATTTTCGCCCGTTTTACTACTATTTGATGCTCCCCATTTCATCTGCGATAGGTAATCACAAAACCTTTTCCGCCTCTTCCGCTCCTGCTCTGCAGCGTATTTGGCTCTCACTTTCCTTACCGCTGGATCTGTCGGCTTGATGTTGAAATCGAGCTTGTGTTGGTCAGAAGTGCTATCATTCACCGGCGTAGCGACGTTCGAGGAAGAAAAAAACCGCGGCCGGACTAAGCTCTCCGCCGCGTCGTCCGAAACCTTAAACGCCTTCACGTAGTCGATTTGTCCCGAGGCGGTCCGGCCGCCCCGCGTCCCTTGGGCAGTAGTGGACTCTCGGTTTAAGTTATGCTCCTGTCGGCTCTTCAAAAAGCGGGAATGGGACGGGTCGGCGGCCTCTGCTGCTGTGCCGACGCGCATCGGGTAGTGCCGTGCGGCGCTCGTCGGGCGAGAAAGACGGTGGGGGAGCTGTTGGTGTTTTAGGGTTTTGGAGTTTCATCGGGAAAAGAACTTGTTTTCGTGGAATCAACCTAAGCCGCGCGTGAAACCAGGGCAAAGTCTTGACTTAAGTAGTGCGCGAAGCACTTTGGCCAAAAGTGATACACGCACTACTGATGCCCTAAGTCGTACTTAGCCTAAGTCGTTCGCGAAGCACTTGGCCTTAACTCGTTCGCGAAGCACTTAACCTTAAGTCGTTCGCGAAGCATTTTAGCTCTTAAGTCGTTCGCGAAGCACTTAAGCTCTTAAGTCGTTCGCGAAGCACTTAAGCCCTTAAGTCGTTCGCGAAGCACTTAAGCTCTTAAGTCGTTCGCGAAGCACTTAGGCTTAAGTCGTTCGCGAAGCACTTACGCTTAAGTCGTTCGCGAAGCACTTTAGCTCTTAAGTCGTTCGCGAAGCACTTAAGCTCTTAAGTCGTTCGCGAAGCACTTAGGCTTACGTCGTTCGCGAAGCTGCACTTCTGAGCATTTAAGTCGTTCGCGAAGCACTTAAGAGCCCTAAAACCTTTCGCGAAGCACTTGTTCCGAGCTCTTAAGTCGTTCGCGAAGCACTTAAGAAGTCTTAAGTCGTTCGCGAAGCACTTAAAGGAAGCCTCAAGTCGTTCGCGAATCACTTCAAGCTAACTACTTCGCGCAGCACCGCCGCTTAGGTCACTCGCGAAGCGCATCTTCCAGATCCTCCATTCCGTCAATCGCGGTGTACTACACGACGCACTTTCATCATACATTTCTATCTACTTTTTTCATCGACATGCTGAATTCATCTTATCCAAGTCAAAAGCTATACCTCCTGCACCGCCGACGCAGCTGCAGTCGACGCCGTGTCCGAGGCGTCATTCACATTCCCCGAGCCCGCATCCACATTCCCCGGACCGAGCGTCGTGGCCCCGTAGGTTTTCCGGTGCGGAATGGTCCGCAACCGCTCCGCCACAACGGACGACCGAGAATTGTACTGGGCTTGCTGCTGCTGCTGTGATGTTGCGCCGCTGTTCCTTTCCGCCAACAGTTTTTCCACAGCGGTATTCAAAAGCGAATTTGATTTTTGCAGGGAGATGCTCGTACTGCTGGAATGGGAGCTTTTCGTAATCGCCGTCTCATGCCGAAGTTTCAGAGCCGCATTTTCGCTGGTGAGGTTTGAGGCGTGACTCGCGTGCTGGTTCATTTGCTGCTGTTGTTGATGACCTCGTGGTGTCGGACCGAGTAGGGGCACCACCTGCTGTCGAGTGATCATGTTTTTCACGTTTTGCTGTCCTCCGCCGATCCTGTTGTAATCCCTTCTGGAACTAGAGCTCGCACTGTTTCCCGTGCCAACCAACACCGCGTCGGGTTCTCGGTCTTCTGTATTGAACAGAAATTGTTGCCCGTACCCCACGTTATTCTGGCTATTGCCCCGGATGAAATCGTCACTGTGCATGACCAACGGCGACAACCGCATCTGCTTTTTGCTCACCTCGTTTGATGCGTCTCTGTCCCCACCGAAACTCGCAAATTTCTGTCCGACCGTCGTGTTGTCCCTTTCCACTTTCAACGGGGAACCGGGATTAACCAGCTGTTGGCTCGCGAGACTGCTGTTCGTCCCCCCACTGCTGGGAAACATTTGCATGGGGCGCACCGGTGACGCTGCGGCGGACAGAACCACCATGTCGTTCTCCGTGGATATCGGTAAAGGAGACATCCCCGCGGGGAGCGGGGACATGGCGAGCGTGGTACCGGGAGATTGCTGTGGATTCATTTTCGGTTGCAGAAATTTCGTCTGGCTCGAATTCATCTCCTTCACGGTGTCTTTCGTGATCAGCATCTTTTGCTGCTCGGGCGTGGCGCTGGATCCAGGTCGCGTTGCAGAATTACCAGTTGCGGATGGCAAGAAATCGCTTGACATCCTCGCAGCAGCTCCCGCCGTGGTTGAGCCGCCATTTGCTCCTTCTACGTGGTCGAGCCCGATGGGCAAACTCGCTCCACCAGGGGAGTGCAGGAAGTTGTCCCTTTTTAAAATCACGAGGTTCGCATTTGGGTTCAGCTGGGTCGGAAGGAAATCGCGGGAGGCGGAATTTTGGGGCGGCTCTACCGAACCTGCTGCAGTTGCGCTGGAGTTATTTGGCGGTGACTTTGGCAGATTGGCAACATTTTGCTGATTGCTACCACCAGGGCCGGCAAGCCCCGCACTAATATTGCCAGCCCCCGCGTGATTTTTAGTACTGCTTCCACTACCAGACGAAGAAGATACCGCTGCACCCATTCCCGCAACCAGCGCCGCCACACTGTTCGGCCTTCGCAGGTGACTCGACCGACTCGGATATGGTGAGCAAAAACGTCCCCACCCCAGAGTCAAGATGGCAAATGTGCTACACAAATCCACCAGCTTCGGCTGTTGCGCGTGACAAATTTGGATTCGCAATGTAGGAGTGTTTAGCTAGTGAAGCAGCATCACAGATCTCGCATACCATGCGGATGTGCGCATCACAAATTGCAAAAAACCAATACAGACCACTTCTCATGGGTCTCCGCATGAGAAACATTCTCAGCATGGAGATTTGCATTACCAAATATAGCCGCCGGGGCGGAGGTAGTGAGGTCGTGGGCGTTTTCTTGCCGGGCGTCGCCTTGGCCGCGGCTTTGCTGTTTCTGGGGCCGCCATACCGCCGTGAGTAACGTTAGGCAGCACGGTATGGCGGCCGCTCCATAAACGTCGCAAATTTTGGCAAATCTCCGAAATTCCTTCCCGAAAGCCAGCCCCCATGCTATGGAGCCGATCCGGGCGCCACGGGGGGCGCCCAAAAAGCGAAGGAAAATCGGGCCCATAGCATGCGGATTGGCTTTGCGCGTCCGGGGCGCTTTTTCTTTTTCGCGTTTCTATTTTTCACGCCGGCGCTTTTTGTAAAGCTTCCCAGGCTCTGAAACCGGCGAAAAGGCTGCCGCTTTCGCGGCCGCCCAAAATGCTCCGAAATCGCGGCCGTGCCATGCTGTTTCGCTGTTTTGATTTTGGGCGCGTTTTTTTCGCGCTGCTTTTTGGGCGCCCCAAACCGCCAGAAACCAAGGCGGTGGGCGCCTCAGAAGGGCGCCCCTTTTGCCGGCTCCCCTGCGTCGTTTTACCCAGCGGCGATCGATAGAATCCGCTGGCGATTCGGTGCCGACACAGCCAGAGCCGCTTGATAATTAAAAACTTTTTATGTCAAAAAACACTTCCGCCCGCTTGAAAACTGACGGCCGTTTTGCTGTCTGGCTGGCAAAAAAACTCCCCGGTTAGAACCGTTCGGTGGCCTCACTACATACAACTCTGGGGTGGGGACGTTTTTACAAATGATATCGGACTGCCGGGCATCGGGCCCGCGGAAAACGGCGGGTCGATCGGCGAAACGGATTTGCTGTTCTCCGCCGTGTTGATATTACCGATCGCAAGCTGCGGGTTCGGTGCAACCTTTTTGCTTAAGTGTTGCGCAGCTGCAGTTCCTCCGGGGTTGACCTGCAGCTGCAGCTCCCCCTGCAGAAATTGCCCGCTATCGCCGGCGACACTCGGAGGACCACTTGCCGCAGTTGCCATACTCGTCTTCCCGCTGATAATCCGAACGTAACTACTCGTCGCCGCAGAAGGTGTCGTGGTCGTGCCAGTAGTGCCAGCACTTGTTGTAACTGCTCCACTTGGCGATGACAAACTTTTCATTTTCAACCCGCTGTCATGCGCACAACTAAACGAACTGCTCGAGCTGCTACTCGCACTGTTCCCGCTCATTGAACACACCACCGCCCCGCCACCCATTGGCGGATTCATGAGCTGGCTCTGGCTGGGCGGGTTGTTACTGCTGTTGTGGTTCCTGCGCAACGACCGGGGCTTCGGCGACCGGGGGAGCGGCATCAGAAGAATGTTGTTCGGGGAAGTGTTCATCTTGTTTGCCCCTTGTCCTCTTGCCGATGTTGTACTTGGTGCTCCACTTGTCAGCATGTCATGGTCAGCATTTATTCCACCGTCTTGTTTCCCCGGTGAATTCGAATTTGATGCGAGTTGTTTTTCCGGCGAGTTGTCTACCGAAGTGACGTCTACCGGGCTCCAGCCAAACGGCGCCTGGTGCGGTCCGGGGGGTATGGGGGTGAAAAGATTTTCATCAATCAAGGTGAAATACAGGTTTCAACGAGAAGTAGTAAAGTTCGAAACATCTTATGGGACAGCGAACTTTTTGCTGCGTGCACAACCGTCGACTTTGCATAAACAAAACACGATCGAATTTTATTCCACCCCTTGAGTGTTTAAAAGTCTTTCATCCCGTATCGCTTGGCGGTGATGCCGAGAGCAAGTTGTGCAACAGATTGTGACTCGGTGAAGACGTAGAGTTACAATTGCTGCTTCCAGCTGCACCTCCTATCATCGCCACATGTTGCGCCGCGGTTGCCCCCTGGCTGAACAGTTCCCCGTTCCCGCTGGATCCTCCGCGAAGCAGCTGTTTCCGCATGCTGGAACTTATCCCGAGGGAAGAGGAGGAAGAATTGGTCGAGTTTTGCGCATGAGCAGGGTGTAGTCCGTTACTAACACCGTTGCGCAGGTTCGGCGCGCCGCCGAAGGGTCTTTGCTCCTTCCGGTGCATGAGCTCCACGCCGTTGACGATAGGGTCGGCGCCGTGGGTCAGATGCGTTGATGCTCCACCAGCACCGGCGGAGAACACTTCGCCGCGGATGCTAGCTTTCCTTCTGGAGGAGCGCGACTGCGGGTGTTGCTGCATCAGCTTCTGGGCGGCCGTGCGCGGCACGTGCAACTGCGCGGACAACCGGCTGATTTTACCGCCGTAGAGATTCAGGTCGAGGACGTCGCCGCCCGGGTCGTGGTGGTCCGCCATTGTTTTGGAAGAAGTGCTGGAGTGATGCAGGAGCACCAGGGGCTGCACAGAAAACTTTTCACGTGTTCTTGGGGGCCGGTTTGTCTAGTAGTCTTCAGCTTCGATGGCTAAAGCTAGTGAAAAAACGAGCAGGAGTGCAAGCTCGGACGAAGATGGCAAGAACTGCGGCACCGGTGGCCCGGTGGCTGTGCGGGCAAAAAATCTTTACGTAATTGGTTCTCCCACATCAACACTTTGTGAGCGCGTCGCACAACAACGCGCGGGAAAGGGCCCGGCGGTGCAGCGCTGCTCGAGTTATTGAGTTTCGGCTTTAGCTTGAAAAAAAATATGCACCGCCGGCGGTGGCTCCTAAAAACATGAGAAACGACGAGAAATAGTAAAGATGTTGCGAAGCGTGTTGCGGCGACACTGATGCGACCAAGCACGTTCTTGCAGTACTTCTACATTTCGAAATAACCTGAGATCATCTCGCACACGCTCCTCTTGTCTCTCTCGAAAGATGCACGCACTAAGTCTTACTCTTAGTGCGAAGAATTTGCGTTATCACGAAGTAGAGGCCTGGCGAGTGCGCCGCGAGCAACCAACGGACGTCGGGTCGACCACGGCCGAGCCGCCCGCGGATGAAAGCGCGAGAACGATAATAGCACGGGCAGCGCGCCGCAGTCGCGCCAATTCCCCCTGCGGGGCGCTTTGCGCGCGAAGGCACAAAATGCTTGTGGCGGCCGACTTCGACGGCAGGGTAGGATGTGCGAGGCATCGCGGAGACGCCGCGCGCATCCGCCGAGTGTGATTGGGGGTGCAGAAATAAGAGGTGCCGGCCCGGCGCCTGCGGATGCGACTGTGCAGCAGCCCGTGGAAAAAATCTTTCCCAATCCGGAAGAGTGCGTCAAGTGCAGACGGCAGTAAACAGTACCTCGGTCCGGGCGATGATAGGACTGCGTGACGCAATTGGGGGGGCGGATCGCGTTTCCGCTTCGCTATCCGCACGGCGAGCAGAAATGCCGCCGTCCCGGGAAACGGAATGCGGAATGATCGCCCCTGAGAAGCTGCGAAACTTTGGCTTCCATCCCGGGTCGCGGCGCTGCTCTGCGTGAGCCTCGGAGGGGGAAGCGCGACTGCGTCAATGAAGCACGAAGCCGCTGTGTCCGGCAGGCCGGGTCGCGGGCAGCACCGAATTAAGACGGGCGCCGACCGCGGGGGCTCTTTGGCTCAGAAGTAGTAGCAGCCCTGATCGGTCGCGCGTCGCGGCGCAGGACGTGACGGGGGTAGTGGAGTGGAGACCGCCCGCCCGTAAAGGCGACCGGCGCTCCGTAGGCCCGGTGGGCAGCGCCAAAGCTTTGCGCTTTTTTTCGTAAACATCGCGGGACCCGCGGCGCTGGATTTCACAACTTTCCGGCGGCGGGAACGCGGTGCAGGGCCCTATATAGGGCACCTCCTTGCTGGTACTTTCTACCGGATTCCGGACCCTGGGCACCCCACCTGGAGGGGGGCGGAGACGCGGAATTTTTCAGATTTTTCAAGAAACATAGGAGATCTTCCAGGGTGGATGTGATCTGTTCTGGTCGTTCGAAAGACGAGGGAAAACAATAAGGACACCAGAAAGAGCTAACCTCGTTGGTCCATGTCTCAAGGCTGGACACCAGGAAGCCCGTTAATTTGAATTTTTCCAATTTCGAGAATTTTTGAGCATAGGCATACACGTCAGCAAATCGACTTCTTTTGAGCAATGAGGTACATGCAACGTCGTACCGCATGCCTTTCTGGTAACTTTCTCACTCAACTACGCACCCACTTTACCCCTATGGAGGAAAAATGGACGGCCTGGCATTTTTTAATTTCTTAAAATATGCAAAAAATCACCAATGTTGCTTATAGTTGATGGATGTTTGGACACCATATGGGCACAATCTAATAAAGTAACCAGATACAGTCTCCATTTGGGTGATTTTACCACATTATTTAACGCACTCAAAAAAAAAACATTTTTTTTTTATTTTCCGATCCTCCAAAAAAAATATTTCCAAACAGTGTAAGAAGGCCTATAAAATCACAAAGATCGCATTGCTCCAGCTCATACTTATTGTCTGGGTGCATCATGTACGCAAATTGTAGACCTGCGCACACTTTTAACCTATGTCACTTTTTTCAGATTTTTGATGTGTCAAAAAATAACGGCAAAAAACCCCAAGCATTAATGTGATGCACATGGGGAGAGCGCAACACATTGCACCTGTTTCGTTAGAGTTATCAAAATTAGTTAATTTTATGGATTTTCCATGACTCTTAACAACTTCAAAAAATTTGAATTTTTTGAATTTTTCAAAAATATTGGAAATTTAAGCGCTTTCAGTTCCGTCCGTCCTAGTATATAAAAAGAGGGCACAAAAACATTAAGGCACTTGCTTTCCGCCTCTGTTTCTGCTCGGTTTTGACGACCACGCACAAGACGCCTTATCTCCTGGCTGTCCATTTTTTCAGATTTTTCTTGGGAAAGGAAGGCTTTACCTTTACAAAGGTCTTTGGCTCCGGCCAATGGATAAAGAACGCACCATCCTAGCCAAATGCGCCCGGTGCAAGAGCTTGTCCACCCTGTAGGCCACCGCGGCAGGCCCCTCCGCTTTTTCAGCAATGGCCTGGATGCCGCCAGGCCTGGCATGCGTACCCCCCCCCCCTGCCTCGGCCGAGGGGAGCCGACGCGTTTCTATTCTTCACCGGGTTGCGGGGGCACACTACGATGGGCACTCTCGCTGGCCCGGGACGGTTTTGCACAGCGGGGGCCCTGCGCCAGACGGTGCGCGCCCCGGCGTACTCAATCGGGCCCCGCGCCTTAGAGAGGGTCGCGACATCACAAGCAGGGGGGCCGGCACGACTATTTTCCGCCGGAGGCCCAGCATTAGCAACCCGCGCAAGTTTAGGCTATTGCGGGAATTGCAAAACCAAGCGCCCTACATTCCGGGTCGGCCAAATCGGGCGCCGCGAGTTGAAAGAAGTGGTAGCGGCGGCGCCGCAATATCCAACCCCGTGCAGCGCTTGGAAGCTGCAGCGCAAGCGGAAGCGCTTTAGAAAATCTCATACACGGCTTCTCTCTTCAGAAAGCATGCGAACCGGCCGAGATCGCGAAATAAATAGCCAAGCGCAGAGAGCTACCCGAAGATCACACTTTTGGCGTTCTTCTTTCGTTTGTTTTTGTGGGTGGACTTTGACTGTCCGAAAACGAAATTAATACGTAAAAGATCTTCTACCATGTGAAGAAAATCGACGACAAAGAGATCTCGGACATCAATCTACCTTGTTCTTCAACCTCATGGTGCGTTATTTTCGTCGTTCACTCCTCGTCCTCGCAGTGTGCTATCCGACGTCCGTGGTTTCCGCTGCGAAAACAGCAGCAGACGAGGATGATTCGCCTTCTCCGGCACCGTCCGTCTATCCCAACCCAGACCCGCCGCTGTTCCTCAACTTCGACTGCTCCCGGCTCCGGAACGGCACGGCGACCAGCATGGAGGGCCTGGGGTCCCTCTTCCGGGAGGTCCGCGGTACCCGGGTGTTCGCGAATCTACTTGGGCTAGAACCGCTGGAAACCGTACCCGCGGCGGGCCACGGCGGGGACTGGGAAGCGAGCCGGGCCTACTTTGGGAGTCTGATCAAGAAAGAGAACAAGGAACTGCTGAAAGACGCGCTGCGGAATTCGACTTCTCTCCACATCTACGACGATTTGCGCAGAATCTTCGCGCAGCTCCGAACCAGTGGGTATAAGGCGCAGAAAACGGTGGGGAAATTCACGATTTTCTCCAACGCAATCCGGCCGGACGAAGTAGAGCAACTGATTGAATGGCTCGGCGGCAGCACGTACGGACAAGCGCACAACAAATTTCTGCCGCAGTGCTCGACGAAGGAACTACCCACAACGCCAAAGAAGAAAAAATCATCAGCTGATCATGCGAAAGCTCCAGAAACAAAGCACCCGTCGGAACTGTGTCGTGAAAAGGTTCTCCGCGCGTCCCGCATGGAGCGGTTGCTTCCCCGGATCCAAGAACTCCGTATCAAATGTAAAAATGTCTGGGTCTGGAAACTTGTGATGCTGGGTGGCGCATCATGATGAGGCTCCAAATGCTGGCTCAGCATGACAAGTTTCTGAGCTCCTCGGTGTTGCCTATTCCGCATGACAAACTGCGCTTCTGCATCACAGAAAAACGAAGCTCTTGGGAAACGTGCATGACAGATTTAACAGTCATGCCAGACAAGCATGACAAACATGAATTCTTCCCGACCCAGACATTTTTACATTTGATACTCCGCGAAGCGGCGCGAAAATCCGGCAACGTCGGCATTCTCAACCTCGTCAGCGACCGGTGCCCGGCGCTCATGTGGAACGGCGCGGCGCCGCCGGAAGTGGACGAAGAGTTGCGGGTAGCGGTGCACCGCGCGCGGAAGAAGGAGAAGAAAATCATCGAGGCAAAGTCTTCGATCAAACGGGGCAAACTCCGCTTCTCCATCGCGATTCACATCCGGATGGGCGATTTGCTGCAGAATGTGCTGTCCTGGACGGGGAAGAAACAACGCGAAGCGGTGACTGTGGTATGCAATTTGCAAGAGTATCGTGCTACGACGTAGGGATTGCATGACAATGAATTTTCTTTTCAGAATCCAGAATGGAATGAGTCGTGCGGAATCAGGACAGCGAAAGCACATCTGTCATGCGTGGCCGCAGTTCGTACGCCTAGTACGATGCTCTTTTGCACTGCATACGCAAGTACGGATAACAAGAGTAAGCCACTGACCGTGACGACGGAGGACGTTTTCGAGACGCTGGAACGAAGCAAAATGATCTATCCACACCAAATTTATTTCTTCCGAACACACAAATGCGGACCAAGCATGACAAAGGTTCATTCTCGATGCTATTCAGCATGACAAATGCTCGAGTTTGGGATAATCCTTTTTATGCATTGTTGCACGTGCTGTAAGTAGGAGGGAACAACAAGTTTGTATTGCATATCCTCGACGAGGACACCATGACTCGCATGAAGAAGACGCACTTCCTATCCTATTTAAAAACGTCCCCACCCCATAGTTGTAATGCAAATCTGCATGCTGAAAATGTTTCTCATGCGGAGCCCCATGATCTGGTAACCAAATGCGTGCGCGCGCGCGCGCAGAGCGCGCGCCGGCCCACGAAGCCGGCGCGCGCGCTCTGCGCGCCTGCGATATTGCTTTAGCAAACGCAGCGCGAAGGCAGTTGCCGTTACCATATAGGGCAACCGCCGGGAGGCGTGAAGGTCAGGGAAATGGCCAGAAATGAAGCGGGAGAAAGGAAAAAAAGCGGACCAGATGGGAAAATGGCCAGGAGGTCAAAAATGTCGCAATAACGGCAGAAACCAAGCGGGAGAAGGTGAAAAAAGAGCACTTTTGCGGTCTGGCCCACTTCGTATCTGAAAAAGAGACGGACTATTTTTTGCTCCGCCCGCTGGCCAGCTGCGTTGGAGAAGCAGGCCCGCGACCTGTTCGGAAGCCTTGGGTCGCTTCGTAACTGGAAAAAGTTGGAAAAAAATGGCAAAAAATTGCTTCATAACGTGGGTGGAAGCAATCGTCGGACTTTGTGCAAATCACCCGGGCCACTTGGAAAATGGGAAAAGATGAAAAATTGCGCAAAAGCGCAATCCCTTCGCAGGCTTCAAAACTGCCACCCAGGTGCGGGCGGCGAAAATGTCCAGGCCGCCCGGGCCACTTGGAAACCAGAAAAAGATGAAAAATTGCGCGAAAGCGCAATCCCTCCGCAGGCTTCAAAACTGCCAGTCAGCTGCGGTCGGTGAAAATGTCCAGGTCGCCCGGGCCACTTGAAAACCAGAAAAAGAAAAAAAAATGCGCAAAAACGCAATCCCTCCGCAGGCTTCAAAACTGCGAGGCAGCTGCGGTCGGTGAAAATGTCCGGAGCCCTTCGGCCACATAGAAACTTGAAAAAAAAGGAAAAATTGGCAAAAGTTGAGAACCCCCGGCAGGCTTACAAACTGGCCACCAAGGGCGGTCCGGCGGGCGCGCGCTTGCGCCATACCATCGCGATTGGGGAAAAAAAAATGCATTAGAAGCGGGCGGAGGCATGTCCCAAAATCCACGCTTGCTCTGGGTTGTGGGCACCAATTCGGGACCTCCGCCGCGTCTGAAATGCCCGACTTTGGTGGCCCAGCAGGGTCCGCGGGTTTGTGGTTTCGCACATACCTTCCTGGCCAGGGGGCCAGTTTGTCATGCAGGGGGCTAGAAAGGATGCCCCGCTGCGAAATAGCAGACCGGATCTCGCCTGCAATGCTTATCGCAGGAGCCTGCGGGCCGCCGCGGGCTCCACCACTTCCCCGCGGCCCTTCTGGCCAGGGGGCCAGTTTCTCACGCAGGGGGCTTGGAGAAGAAGTAGTGGGACTGTAATCAAAAACAAATAGCGCCAAAGCGCGGCCCGCAGGGCCGCGTTTTCGCCGCGCGGCTGGTTAGGCTTTCGCGCTGGTTAGATTTTCGCGCACGCATTTGGTTACCAATATCGCCCTCCGGGCGCGACCTTCATTAGCATTTTCTAATCGTGTTTTGCAATTTGTCATGCTCCAATCAGCATGGTATGCTAGATCTGTGATGCTGCTGAGCTAGCTCAAACAGCACTACACTACGAATGCAAATTTGTCATGTAAAACAGCCAAAACTTGTGGATTTGTCTAGCCGATTCCCCATCTTGACTATGGTGTGGGGACGTTTTTACTCAGGATACTTCCTCGACAAGTGTGCCATCCGGCACATCCTAGTCGCGTCGCACGGACGGGAAAGCGAGAAGTGCCAGAAGAAGGCGGCGGAGCGGCGGCACGCCCCGTTTCTCAAATACCCGGTCGCGTATTTTCAAAAAGTGTTGAAAAGTCTGTTCCAAGACGTCCCGGTGCTGTCGATTGGGCTGATGGAGAAGACCGTCGACATTCACATTTTCTCGGACGCGCCCGAAGAGTGGTTCCAGTCGTTCAAAGCGGCGTACTATCAAATGCAAAAATGTCTGGGTCTGGAAGAATAACTTGTGATGCGCATTTCAGAACATAGAAAAATCTCTAATGCATAGGCAGCAAAAATTGCCCACTTTCTGTCACCAAAGTGGGGGGCTTGTCATGCGGATTCGGCATTGCGGAAGCTTCTCGAAACCTGTGATGGTAGAGCTTCCATGCCAGATCTTCTGCGTCATGCAAAAACAGCATGAGTCTTCCAGACCCAGACACTTTCACATTTGATACGTACGGCGCGGAGGTGGTTACTGTGCACGGGGACGGAGACGGGAAGTCGTTGTTGATCGGAGAGGAAGTAGCGGTTGACGGGGAAAATGAGGGTGATCAGGACGAGAGCACGAAGATCCAAAAAACGAAAACTCTCCCGGCGGACTTGGACCATTTAATTTTTTCCGACATTCTGATTTACGGTGAGGGCAACCTCGGCCGGCTCGCCGCGTTTCTGAACCCGGACGGGATCAAGTTGCAGGCACCGTGCGGGCGGACCGGAAACGTGGAGGGGGATATGGTGGTGAACGTGCAAAAGAACGGGGAAATTCCCGAGGGGGAAAAAATCAACGACAAGTTCTCGGTCATGCTGAAGAACAAGATGGGCAGTAGCGGTGTCACGATGAATCAGCGAGGTAAGGTATCCTGTGCGAAAACGTCCCCACCCCATAGTTGTAATGCAAATCTGCATGCTCAAAATGTTTCTCATGCCGAGCCCCATCATGACATACATTTTCTAGTCGTGTTTCGAGATTTGTGATGCTCCAACTAGTATGCTATGCTAGATCTGTGATGCTTCTGAACTAGCTAGACAGGATTACCGTACGAGGCCAAACTTGTCATGCGCAACACCCAAAGCTTGTCGATTTGTCTAGCAGATTTCCCATCTTGACTAAGGGGTGGGGACGTTTTTGCTCAGGATATAAGGGACAGGTGCCCCGCCGGGGAAAGGAGACGATTATGCGCCCGGAGAAGATCAAAACGGAGTTGTGAAGAGGGGAAAGAAGGAAGAAATAATGTTCATTTCGGAATTTCAGGCGAAGATAACGGCGCTCGGAAGTTTATCTGAGCTATCGCCATTATGGAAACTAGCAGAAACCGAGGTGCGCTGCGCTTGCACTTTCATACCAGGAAAAAAAGCGCAGGCGAAGTACAATTTTCAGAACTTTGTACATGATTTTGCAGGGGGGTAAAATTCCTAGAATGAATTCTGAGTTTCTACGAAAAGCGGAGCTTTGACAGCACAGCTGAAGCTTGACTGTACTATGGCTCCTCTCTCTGCTGTTGCTTCTTGACTGGAATTTGTATTAAGACAAAGCAATCGTCAGCTTCGTACTTCATTGTCGTCGTGTCGCCACACGAGAGCGAGTCTTCGGAGGGTGAGAGCGTCGTCTTGGTCTAGTCATTTTGATCTGCCACCGCGTGATATTTTGGTCGAATTGATTTGTGTAGCCAACGAGAGCTCGGAGGAAGGGATTGTTCGTTCATTTCGTTCAGGGACGGAAAGAATCAATATCCCCTCTACATGCTTTGAATTTTCAACTCGCTACTTTGTCTTTGTCTGTCACGCTTCCTTTCATCACAGTTGCGGTTTCAAAATTTCAGATCGACAACAAGCTCGATCTTGCTAAATACAAAAATGAACCCGATAAAATTCGAGAACTTCTGATAGTTTAATCAGAGATATCATCACCGCTCGCTCCTACCTCCGCGAGCAGCACCGACGAGACTTGAATACCAGTGCAGCACAAAAATTTTTGTACGCTGCTAAAGAGAACTCCAACCGGCTTCAGCGGTACCGGTGCTCCTTCTGTAGTAGCTCAACGGGCTTGAGCAGATTGTTACTACGCTGCGCGACTCATTTTCCAGCAGACCAGACGACAGGCGACAGTGTGTGTTGACGCGATTACGTTGAGGGCGGTATCTTGAAGCGATTACGTCCGCTATCCCCCTTCAAGTTCAACTACATCGTGCGACGGCCAACTGTTTCGGAACTACGCTAGCAGAAGGGAGGCACAGCCGCAGAAAATAGAACTTCGGCGGAAAGCAAAGCGTCGGTTTTCCTACAACTATCGAGAAGCTGTACTGCAGGCGGGACCCGGCTGCCGCTGTGTGTTGATCAAACACGACAAAAACTGTCCGTTCTTGTGGCAAGACCAAGAAGGACCTGCATTTCCTACTCGCAACCAGTGCACTTTCGGTGGATCATCATCCAGGTGTAAAGTTCTCGTGGTCTAACATCAAACTGTGATCAATAACGAGCAGATGGAAGGAACAAGAACACGGGAAAATAAGCAACACCAACAACATCCGGATAGACGTAGAATCTTCTCGAGGTAAGAAGATAAAAACTAGAAAAGATACAGGAGCAACCACTTCTCGACAACTGCGTGGAACAGAACAGAATCAAAAGCAGCTTTCATCTACTTCCACAACCAGCGCTACAAGCACTGCCACAAGATGCACAAGTACAAGCTGCTTTCGAAGAAGGGTGAGGGTACCTTTTCCGAGGTGCTGAAATCCCAGTCAATAAAAACCGGACGGTACGTATCCTTAGTGAAAACGTCCTCACCCCAGAGTTGTCGTGCAAGTTTCGATGCCCACAACGTTTTTGTAGTGCGCAGCAACATGAGAGGTTTTTTCCCATGGTGTTTTGCAATTTGTCATGCTATTATCAGGATCAGGTAAGTAGTAGTTTTCTGATGCGGCTGCACCAGCTAAGCTGCACTGCACTACAGAGAGAAACTTCTCATGCGCGACTCCCAAAGCTTCTGGTTTTCTGTTGCACATTCCCCATCTTCACTACAGGGTGGGGACGTTTTTACTCAGGATAGTGCGTGGCCATAAAATGCATGAAGAACCGGTTCGAGTCCATCGATCAGGTCAACAACCTGAGGGAAATCCAGGCGTTGAGGAGGTTACAGGGCCACGCAAATATTATCCACAGTGAAGATTTTTTTCCGTACACGAACTTCCTTGCACATGCGATGATGATGATGATGATGAAAAACAAAGCTGTGTTTGTTTACCAACCAGATTTGACATGATTGTACCGGTTGGCAAAAATTTGTGATGCATTTTGCAAGAGTGCGGCAAATTTCTACTGCATAAATATCATCACACTCCACGAAGTGCTGTATGACGAACCAACGGGGCGACTAGCACTGGTCTTTGAGTTGATGGACATGAACCTCTACGAGCTGATCAGGGGGAGAAGGTAATTTGTGTTGCAAGAAATGCGACCTGTAACCCGATTTGTCTTGCATTAATGGAGAACTACTGAAGATAAAACACTAACTTACTATCTATCAGGCACTACGTTCCGGAAGAGAAAGTGAGAACGTTCATGCGATCACTACTACGCGCTCTGGATCACATGCACCGAAACGGGATTTTCCATCGAGACGTGAAGCCAGAAAACTTGCTGCTGCAGGAAGACACCCTGAAATTAGCAGACTTAGGGAGTTGTCGAGGTGAAAAGTAGTTTTATTTTTTGCGATCATGATGTTCTTGCATAGGTGCAGAGCGCATGACAAAAATCCATAGAATTTGTCTTGCATTTATTGTACTATGATGCAAATATTATTTAACTCGCAGGTATATATTCCCGACCACCCTACACGGAATACATCAGTACAAGGTGGTATCGTGCACCCGAGTGTCTTATGCATTGCAAAAATGTCTGGGTCTGGAAGGATGCAACTTGTCATGCTAAGTCTGGATAGTACAAAAATTTGTGTTGCATGATTACCAAAAGGTGTCCACGTTTGAACAAGATTAGCGGCAGTTTGTCATGCAGGACAGACATGATAGAGACTTCGCAGAACCTCTCATGCTAGGTGCTGCATTGCAGACCTCGGGGGGCATGAAAAACATGCATGGCAAGTTTGCATTCTTCCAGACCCAGACATTTTTACATTTGATATGTCTGCTTACAGACGGATTCTACTCCTACAAAATGGACCTCTTCGCGGCGGGGTGTGTGTGGTTCGAGGTATGATTTAAAGTACATTTTTCTTCGGTAAAAATATAATTTTTGTATACCGCAACAAACATTTTGATCCGCTTGAAATGAAATTCCTTCTCGCAGCATGATGCACCAACATGAGATTTGTTTTCGGTTAAAAAGAAAAAACCTGCTCCCCCACAGGTTATGGCTCTGTTCCCGCTGTTCCCCGGGCAAAATGAGATGGATCAGCTGCAGAAAATACACGGCATTCTCGGCACGCCGAACGAGGAGGTGCTGCGAAAATTCAAGCTCAATTCCGATGTGGCCTTTCCGGAAAAGAAGGGCACGGGGATCGACCACTTGATACCCCACGCGAGTTTGGACGTGTTATCCGTGCTGAAAAAGTTACTGCGATACGACCCGGAGGAAAGAATAACAGCGAGGCACGGGTATAAGTATGGATGAATTTTGTCATGCAGAGCGTGCAGTAGAAAACTTCGTGGTGGACGGATTCAAACAGTATTCAAAATTTATCATGCGCAAAATCTGGGAATGATGGAATGCTTGTTTATGCACCGAATTAATATACCAACACACATGATCACCCAGGTTGCTTTCCCCCTACTTCGAAGAGGTCCCAGAGCGCACGGTGCCACTGCACACGAACAGCATCGAGCAAGCACCGACGAGCACATTCTGTATTCATAAACTCTTATTTGCTCTATGTATGTTGTATGCATCAGAAGTGATGTCTGTCATGCGGGAGCGACAGTCCTATACGACAATCCTATATTTGAAAACAAACCATCAGATCGCACGGGCGGTAACCAGTCCACGGTGTCAGACAACCACGATACAGACCGACACCACGAAAGCACACACCATGCTATCACCGGGATAGTTTTTGAAAATTTGTAAATGCATAATCGGTTTTAATATTGCATGATGGCATTATTGTTAATTGAGGAAACCACAAGGACAACCAGGATAATTCCATGGAAAGTACTCATCATTTTATGCATTATGCATTACAGAAAAACTGTCCAAATTTTCATATCCACAAAGGACCAGGCGCAGGCGAAAACAAATCTCCCACCAATCCATGCCAAGAACTACGAAAGAGAAGAATCTGACACTCGGAGTCAATTGTAGGTACTAGGCCTCTCTGCCAAAAAGGTTTGTAGTCCTCTCCATTGATGCACGAAAGGATGAAACACATCGCAAAAATTGACTCCAATCCGAGTTTCTGTTGCATACTTGCCAAACCAAGCACATGAAGCCGTTTAAGTTCAAACCGAAGAACTTCGGGTTGCACAGTACCATGAGCGGGTTCGGGGGGAACTACGGGATATCCAGTGTAAAAGTATCGAAGTCGCTCGTACTACACTAGTTGCAATTTCATTCGTGACAGAAGTGTGTTGCGGTTTCTGAATTATCCGCATGTCAATTTTCATTTTTCGTTTTGGAAAATGAATTTCTCCAATTCGTATGAATGCAATTGATTGTACTGCAAGTGCGATACTTTTGCAATGCATACGGGAACACCGGTGGCAATGCGTACCTGTCCGGAATGAACGCAACGATGCACAAATCCAAGTTCTTCAAGAAGAGCAGCATGCGATAATTGTCCGGGGGCTTTTGCATCACAGATTTGGAGGACACTGTCTTGCTTGTTCGTCTAAAACGCTAGTCGTGTCACAGTACTACGTAATGTGATGAACAGAGTGATTTTATTCACGATTTTATCAAGCAAAAACCTGTACTTACGATGGAGAATAGTCAGTCTCGCACGACACTGCTCATGACACGTGCTTTGGAAGCGTCGAACATCAATCGTCGAGACTCGAACTCCTCAATGCTATCTCAGAAACGCAAGAAAATTCCGTGTGAAAACCTATAACACCAATATAGTCTTCTGACAATCGTATTCGTCAATATTATGGAAAAATCAATCGAATTTGCAATGCCAAACTCAGAAACGCTTTTAATTAATCCACAAGATGTTAACGCGACCTATACCTCTAGTACGGACATATCAAAACCTGAAACTTTATTCTGACACTTCACCAAGAGGAAACAAGTAATAGCCTAAAAGCTTAAACTCTTATAGCTCACGCTTTGTAACCTATGATCTTCTTCGCCACGGCCGTGGGGTCTTAGCCGTAGCAAGATAAAAACCTATGCAATAAATCACGCTTGTTCTAAAGCCTGGCACGCTGTTGTAGTACTTGTACTTACTTCTACCCAAGAAGATATCTATACCACTCGAGTTCAGCATCAAAGTGCAAGTGGTAGGAAAGTTTTTGCTAGCAGCAACAGGAGTGTCGGAGTGCTTGCTTCTAGAACTTCGATCAAATAATGGACACTTGGATCATGAAAACGCAGAAACGTATACAACTCGCGACAGAGGAGAAGGCGTAAGATATGGCACTTCAACTCGAGGACATTAGGTGTGACGTCCGGTCGCTGAGCTGTCGGAAAAAAAGAACTTCTTCACGAAGACTAATGATCCAAACACTTCTTCTAATGCGCGGCGATTTAATATCGAAAAGGAGGAAAGAAATAACGCGAGGTGACCACGAACTGCTTCTGCTGCTGTGATGTAGTTGTTGTGTATACAAGAGTTTTGGAAAGTTAGAAATCTCAGGGCCTGGAGTTCTGTACAGATCTGCCTGCAACAACCCTGCGGCAGAAGTTGCAAGGCTTTCTGGATACAGGCGCGCAACTACCTGGTGAACACGATGCGAGTCAGCTGGTTGTTTCGTGCGGGTTTATCAAAAATCTTGTGTTCGTCTTCCCCGATGTGTGGTCCTCACGTTGATGTCTAACTGGTTTTAATGTTCTCGTTGTTTGAAAAGGAATTGCTGTTCTTGATGCTGCTCGCAAAATATGATCCTAGCCGACCTGCGTTTCGTGCGGAAGGTAACATCAAGCTTGTTGAACTTTGAAATCGCTCGTCCTGGTCAACGAAACAAGAAGACGATCCCAAGGTGGTTGTAAACGCTGGTTAAGAATTGCGCGGTTCTGTACGAACAATCAAAATTTCTACCATTGTAAAGAAGGCTACGGCGCAACAAGGCAAATGAGAATTGCACTGCTCTAGACTTTTGCGAGGAATGCAGTTCTTTCACTGCAAAAAAAATGACCACCTCGTCCAGAGAAGGGGAAAAGCAGATCCAGCCAGTTGGGGTGGGTCGCGTGGCCGTCCTCGGTTCTTGCGCGGCACGAACAAAAATGCGCTTCTCCCAAAAGAACCGCGGCCCAAGTATCCGGGGGAGGACCGGGGAAAGGCAGACGAAACCGCTCAGAGCTAGATCAAGTGGTGACGTAATGTTCACTGCATTACGACGGTAAAAAGAGGAAAGCAGAGTTGTACAAAGACCACCGCCGGCGGAGCATAATGATGAGCGGAAATAAGACCACCAGCACCGCCAAGGACCGTAGTCTGCTGTGGTCGCTCCGCGGTGCGGCGGTTATTTCTGCGTGTCACAAAAGGTGGAGAAGGAGATCATCATCGTGGGCACAAAAAAAGCGGCTCCTTTTGGGGCGGTGCGACAGGGAGGTATTCTTTCACGTTGGTGTCGAGACAACCGGGGATCCAGACAAAAAATATTCAGCGGCGCAAATAAGCCGCGATGCACCGGCGGAGCTTTCGCCGCAGTCACCAAGTGAGCCACGAATTATACGAAAGACAAGAAGAAGCAGAAGTCGCATCAGGGATAAACTGGTTCGTTTTCCTGGTTCTCTTCGATTATACACGCTTGTAGCTGCACCGGGCAGGAGGGTCAAAGAGCATCAAGGACGACGAGAGCTACCACCCGCAGCGACCACCATGGGGACGCTGCAAGAGCACGTGCGAAATTGTACTGGCGGAGGTCAACACCACCACCACCACCATCGCAAAAGGCAGCTACGAGGGAAGGTCGGCTCTTTGTTACCAGGGAGAGCTAGTACCAGCGACGTCTTGGTCTACTCGAGGACGAAATTAGCTCTACTACTAGTCGCGGCCTTTGCAGCTGCGGCGCTTGTGCTACTGCGAGGCAGCTTTTCTTTGTTCGCGTTTCTCGGCTTCGGACCGCCCCCTCCACAATATCCGCGAAAAAACGCCTCGTCGACCTTCTTCTTCGCCGACGCCAAGCGGCTTCGGCTCGGGCGGCGGGCACGGGGTTCAACATACTATTCAAAACCGGGAAAGACAGGTGGACCTGACCCCTTTTTCAACTTTCTGGCGGACGCACAGATGCGCACCCTGCTGGAGGAGGACGGCAAATTACCTCCGCGCCGTATCCTGGGTGTAAAATAAACGTAGCTGCCGTTTCCCCAGTCTTGATGTCATGCAAATCTGCATTAGTATGGTATCCAGAAGGTGTCTCATACGCAGTCCCATGACCACAAGCATTTTCTAATGCTGTTTGCCTTTATTTGTCTTTGTCATTCTCTAATCAGGATTTAATTCGTATTGCGGCCACGCTGGCCAAGCCCCACTCTAGTGCTCGGGAAAGCCGAACTTTGTCATGCCAAAGCCCTAAAGCTGCTTCATTTGTGTCCTGCAGATTGTTTTGTACCTCGTAAGAGTACTTCTTTATTACACAGGATACGCGCGTCACCAAGTGGGTGCGTCGAGCAGACCAGCGATGCGCGTTTGAAGAAGATGCTAGATGAGAAGGACAAGTGGCGCAACAGTATGCCTGAGGGCTTCTGGACGGTCGACGCGCGGCAGGTGGACGGCATCAAGATCGGATATGGATGTGTCAGAGTTGAAATCGACAAAGTTGAAATAATTTGTCATGCATAAAACGGATACCAGTTATGCCTACAGTTTGTAGTCGATGCATGACAAATCTTCCCGGTCCTGGAAGCGTGTCTGTCATGCGGTTTAGGGCAAAAGACCTGCCTTCTGTCATGCTAGTCAGAAGTCCAACTTTTGACCCTTACCAGGACCATAATCTGCCTCCCGTGCGTCCTCTCCAATAGAGTCACTTTTTGTGTCGCATTTTATGCATGACAAATCATTTCAACTTTGACGATTTCAATCCTGACAGTTCCACATCGGACTGGAAGCGGAGGTCCGCGCGACCACAAAGTCGCGCAAGCTGAAGCTGAGTTCGGTGACCATTCCCACCTGCGCGTTTGCCACCCCCACGAAGCTGTACTGCCTGGCGCAGGTGGATGTGAAGCGCTCGACCAACTACGCCAAGAATGTGGATTTCGTGCGGTCTTTGTATCTGATCGAGTACAACGACCGGTGTGGGCCTTTTTTGACCGGTAATCCTAGGGATGCCGCGAAGGGCAGGCCGGGTGATAAACCGCTCACTTCTTTCACGAGCGGCGACGAGAAAGTGCAGCATTTTGGGCGCAACGCGCCGCTGGGGCGGAGCGGGAAAATCCTTGGGGGGTCCGACACTTCGGAGGATCCTCTTTCGCGCGGTGGAGAAAACCCGGACTCGCTGGGCCCGACCGGTGCGGCCGGTCCGGACGGCGCCAAGTGGATTTTTGACTGCGCAAAGATGACCGAGTTCCGCTTTTCCTCCATCCAGCGGAGCCCCGGGGAGCCTATGCACAGGAAACAAATAGGTTTTTGTGTCTGGAAAGGTGTTGTTGTCATGCTAAATCCTAAACCCCAAACAGATTTTACAGTAGTTAGCAGTGCATGAACAGTTTTTGGAAAGGGAATCCTGTGTTTTGCATGGGACGGAGCGCATTTTTGTAAGAAGTACATACAAGCGACACGACCCTTTCGCCACATGCATCCCAACCCTCTACGGCCGTGTCAACAGCAGGCAGGCACTACAAAATCTCGAATCCTCCAGATGAACACCAGACCACATACTTGCAAATTTCATATCCCCGGAGGGTGTGCGCTTCGAAAACAAGGGTTCCTTCCGGTGCGAATCGTGGGGCGAGGTGATCCGGGCGTGCGCCCACTGCAACACACTGTTTCGCCGGATGACCTTCCGCACCGCGAACATGCCGACTTTTACGGGCAGCTTGATTACCGGATTGCATTACAACACGCTTCCGCGCTTGGCCCCCGCGCGGTCGGAGGACGGCCGGTTTTTGCTCGCGTGGCTCCCCCGCGAGCGGTCCCTGATCGGGTGGCAGTCCACCCGCGGGTGGAAACTGATCTGGAAAACGCGGCCGATATCCCGTGTAAAAACGTGTTTATCCCAGAGTTGTCATGCAGATTTGCAATGACAAAAACATTTGTGATGCGCGTCCCCATGACAGGCATTTTTATTTCCAATCGTGTCTTGGAATTTGTAATGCTGTAAACAGGATAGGCAGCTGGATTTGTAATGCTGGCGTCCTTGCTAACCTGCACTACGCTACGGACTGCAACTTGTCATGCGTGACTCCCAAAACTTCTAGGTTTGTGGTGCAAAATCCCCACTATCTTGCCTCGGGGGTGGGGACGTTTTTGCTCAGGATAGCCGAGTGAGAAGATTCAGATCGTGCGCATGAGTCTGGTCGGTTCCAAAAAGGAGATGGTGTGGCTTGTGTCTTTGTACATCAACAATTCTCCGCACATTCTCCACTTCGAACCCTACGTGTGGCTGACGGAACATTGGGACCGGTTTTTGGACCTGGAGTGCATCAACTTTCCCTCGGAGTACCTGCAGCAGAGCCAGGGCGCCGCCGCTGCCTCGGGAGGTGGTGGTGCAGGTGGTAACGCCGCGGGAATAAACGGCGGTAGTAGCAGTGGCTACAGGCTGAGCGGGAGCAAGTATTGGGAGCGTTTTGGCGAGTATTACGAGTGCGCGAAGAGCTCGCACGCGGTCACGGACTTCAAGGATTTCCTGCGACAGCAGTCTGTATGGATTGCAAAAATGTCTGGGTCTGGAAGGATGCGAACTTGTCATGCGTGTTGCGGATCATACAAAAATCTGTGTTGCATGACTTGCAAAAGGTCGCCATTTCTGGCCATGCTGAGAGGGCATTTCTCATGCAGAAAAGGCATCACCAAGGGGCTGCAGAACCTGTGATGCTATCCCCTGCATTCCAGCCTTGGTGGAGCTTGGAAAAACTGCATGACAAATCTCGGAATCTTCCCGACCCAGACATATTTGCATTCCATAGTCTGCGTTTGCTAACAAGCGCCGCATCGAGGCGCACAACTTCAAGCGTATGTAGTGCAAAACTAGTACAACTATCGTACTCATTGCATGACGACCGATCATCTGGTTTTTCTAAATGCTATTACGAACGACACACAAGAAGGTCCATTCTTCCTCTCGGAAAAAAAATGTGAATAACTTTATGCCACGTACATCTAGTAGTACGAAAGCTTTTGGTTTTTTCAGATGCATAAGGCCCGTGTTGCTGCAGAACGCGTGCCAGCAGCTGCAGCGGGCGTACGACTGCCAGTTGGAGCGGCCGTGCAGTTTCTTCAAGGATCCGAGGCTGCTGAAGGCCCCCCCGAAAGTGATGGACCCCGAGTTTCGGTTTGCGGAGTCTATGCCGTCTATGTCCATTCTGAAGCCGAAAGAGGAACTGGCAAGCCCGCGACGAGGCGGTGGAGCTCGTGCCCGAACCACGACGGCGATGTTGCCCCCCCAGATGACGGGAGCGCAGACCGGAATAAGTGGAGGACCACCTCCACCTGCAGCGCAAATAGAAACACCACCTGCAGCGCAACAGGAAAATAATGGGGCGAACGTCAACGGCGCTGTGGACGCGTCTCTTCCCGACGCGGGAGATGCTGGTGACCTATCAATTACAAATATGTCTGGGTCTGGAAAGCTGCAAGATTTGTCATGCATCTCGGGGACCACGACGCACATGGTGTGCAATGCACACGAAAGCATCAGAGATTGTGCGAGACCTACCCCATGCCTATCCCGTATGAGAAATCCGCGTTTTGTCCAGCAAGAAGTGTGCAACTTTTGGTCTTTATGCTATACAGATTTCTTTGTGCTTGAGACTTTATATTTGCAATGCATACGACCAGCAGACGAGCGAGCTACAGATGGAACAGGAAGGCTTCGAGGAAGCGAATGAAGTGGGGAAAAAGTCGTGGTCACAAAAGGAAGTCAATCGCGCGACGGAAGGGGCCGCGCCTGATAAAGTAGGTGCAAACGTCGAAAATGATCGTGCCCCGTCGATAGCAGGAGAAGCTTCGGGTGGTCCAACTGTTACACCGTCTGCTATACACGACAATGAAGACGAGGAATTTGTGGAAGAGCTGACGGATTTGCTGAGGGAGTTTGAGAAACACCAGCGTCCTCCGGTCGTAGGGAACACGAACGGTGAGCAGGGTCGTACAGAAGCTGCAGCTGGCTCTTCATTTATCCAAGACAGCTACTTCGCTGCGCCCGACGAGCTGCCCCAATCGACTTCCGCCGCGGCGCATATGGAAGCGTCAGGACCGAAATCAACAAAATCGAAATAACTTGTGATGCAAACAATCGATACCAGTCGGAGCCTGAGTTTCGAAGTGGTGCATGACAAATTTCGGGATCACCATAATCCAGTCTGTCATGCTGTTTGGGCAAAGAAGACCACTCCTGTCATGCTACTCGGGCAGCGCATCACTTTCCCCTAAACAGGCTCACAATCGGCCTCATTTGCCTGCTCCCCAACACAGGCCATACGTGCCCTACATTTTATGCATTACAAGTTTTTCGATTCTGTCGATCTCGATCCTGACATTCCCATAGCGCAGTTTCGTGAGTGCATGGAGGCCTCGCAGGAGCTGCACTGCAACTTCCAGTATCAAATGCAAAAATGTCTGGGTCTGGAAGATTGGAACACTTGTCATGCACATTTTGCATGAACGATTATGACTGTACTGCATGACCTAGCATCAGAGATTTTACGAGGGCTTCCTGATGCCTATACCGCATGAGGAATACCCCCTCGGCGTAGCATAAACTGGACTCCTCTTGCGCCCTCAGCAATACAAATTTTTTTTGAGTCCAAAGACAGCATGACAAGTTCCATCCTCCCAGACTCAGACACTTTTGCATTTGATATCCAGTCCTTGCTGCCCAACATTCAAATCCGCGACGTGGAATTGCTCCGCCCGAAGAGCCACAACCGCTATCTGGAGCACAAAAAGGACTTCTTCAAGAAGTACCAAATGCGGAAGCTGCAGGTGCAAACCTCTGCCGGTCCGAACAAAGGAGCTTCATCCAGTGGGGCGGATGACTTCGAGCACGGCCACGGCCGCAGGGACGCGGACGGTGCGGAACTCGATGATCCGACGGAAGATAGCCGCAATAAGGAAACCGACATCCGTCAGGCCTCCGTGCATCCGTCCCGGATCGATACGAGCTGTACGTTATCAAATGCAAATATGTATGGGTCTGGAAAGATGCGCGGTTTGTCATGCTTGGCTAACATGGCGGGTATGGTGGGGGCGAGAGGCATGTATGAGTTTTGCGATGTATTGGCAGAAATACATCGCAAAACTCATACATCATACATGGAAGATTTGCGGAGAGCGCGACGGTTTCCGTGTACGATGTACAATGTATGAGGTGCAATACATCAATGTGCAACCCAATCTCATACATCGTACATCATACATTGTACACGGTCCAGTGTATGATGTGCGATGTCTGATACATTGTGCATTGATGTATCATACATTGTACATCAATGCACGATGTATGACATTGATGTATCGTACATCGTACATTGATGTATCGTACATCGTGCATTGATGTATCATACATCGTACATTGATGCACTGTACATGATACACGGCACAAACATTGATGTACTGTACATGATACATGGTACATTGTACATTGTACACTGGCTGCAAGTCGGGGCCGCAGATGCGGCTCCGCTCGGACCAACCGGACTTTGCAACTGCAAGTCGGACCAGCAGATGCGGAGGCGCCGGGGCCCGGCGCCTCCGCGCGGACCATCAACTGGACTTATTTGCAGCTGCAAGTCGGACCGGCAGTTGGGGAGGCGCCGGGGCCCGGCGCCTCCGCTCGGACCAGCCGGGCCTTGCCGCTGCAAGTCGGGTCAGAGGATGGGAAGGCGCCGGGGCCCGGCGCCTCCGCTCGCACCAGCCAAGCTTTGCCGCTGCAAGTCGGGCCGGCAGATGGGGAGGCGCCGGGGCCCGGCGCCTCCGCTCGGACCAACCGGACTTTGCAGCCGCAAGTCGGACCGGCAGATGGGGAGCGAGGCGCCGGGGCCCGGCGCCTCCGCTCAGACCAACCGCGCTCTGCAGCCGCAAATCGGACCGGCAGATGGGGAGGCGCCGGGGCCCGGCGCCTCCGCTCGGACCAACCGCGCTCTGCAGCTCCAAGTCGGGCCGGGAGATGCGCACCCGGCGCCTCCACTCGGACCAGCCGGGCTTTGCGGTTGCAAGTCGGAGCGGCAGATGGGAAGGCGCCGGGGCCCGGCGCCTCCGCTCGGACCGCCCGGGCTTTGCTGCTGCAAGTCGGGGCCGCAGATGCGGCTCCAACCGGACTTTGCAGCGGCATGTCGGACCCGCAGCTACGGAGGCGCCGGGGCCCGGCGCCTCCGCTCGGACCAACCGGACTTATTTGCAGCTGCAAGTCGGACCGGCAGATGGGAGGCGCCGGGGCCCGGCGCCTCCGCTCGCACCAACCAAGCTTTGCAGCTGCAAGTCGGACCGGCAGATGGGGAGCTCGGACCAGCCGGGCCTTGCAGCTGCAAGTCGGACCGGCAGATGGGGAGGCGCCGGCGCAGCTGCGCCGGCAGAGGAAGTGCCGGTGCTGGTGCTCTGAGTGGTGCCAGCAGATTCACCGGCCGGCGCAGCTGCGCTGGCAGGAAGATCAGCTGCTGAGCTCGGAGCTCCAGCATCAAACAGCTGCTTCGCTTGCCAACGCAGCTGCGCTGGCAGAGCAAGTGCTGGCGCTGGAGCTCTGAGTGGGGCCAGCAGATCCAGGGAAGTCAGCTGCTGAGCTCGGAACTCCATCCTCACACAGCTGTTTCGCCTGCCGGCGCAGCTGCGCCGGCAGACGAAGCACTGATGCCGGAGCTCTAAGTGGGGCTAGCTAGCAGATCCACCTGCCGGCGCAGCTGTGCCGGCAGGGAGGTCAGCTGCTGAGCTCGAAACTCCAGCATCAAACAGCTTTTTCGCCTGCCGGCGCAGCTGCGCCGGCAGAGGAAGTGCTGGTGCTGGAGCTCAGAGTGGTGCCTGGCGCAGCTGCGCTGGCAGGAAGATCAGCTGCGGAGCTCGGAGCTCCAGCATCAAACAGCTGCTTCGCCTGCCGGCGCAGCTGCGCCGGCAGAGAAAGGACTGGCGCTGACGCTCTAAGCGGGGCCCGCAAACCCACCTGCCGGCGCAGCTCGCTGCGCCAACAGGGAGACGAGTAGCTGCTGGGCTCGGAACTCCAGCCTCATTCAGCTGGCCATGTATGATGTGCCATGTATGATGTATCATGTATCATGTGCCATGCATGATGTGCCGTGTATGATGTGCCATGTATGATGTGCCATGTATGATGTGCCATGTATGATGTACCATGTATGACGTACCATGTACCGCGCACCGGGTACGCTGTGCCATGTATGATGTATGATGTATGATGTACGAGGTACATACATCGCAGAATTTGCGATGTATGATGTACAATGTATGATGTACAATGTATGATGTACAATGTATGATGTACAATGTACAATGTATGATGTACAATGTATGATGTACAATGTATGATGTACAATGTATGATGCACAATGTATGATGCACAATGTATGATGTACAATGTATGATGTGCAATGTATGATGTGCAATGTATGAGAGTGAGGTCGTTCTCCGCAAATCTTCCATGTATGATGTATGAGTTTTGCGATGTATTTCTGCCAATACATCGCAAAACTCATACATGCCTCTCGCCCCCACCATATTGAACATGGCTCTGGGGTCTGTCATGCACGTTGCCCAACAGCCCCAATGCTCTGTGATGCAGAAGCTCACTTTGTCATGCAGAATATACAACACTGAGGCAGCTCTAAAACTTGTCATGGTTGGCGGCCAATTGAGGCGTCCTCGTCCTCTTTCTCGACCAGCATCACAAGTTTCCAGACATCCAGGAGGGATATTTGGCGCACTGCATAAACGTTTCTCAAGGGTGGCGAGCTCGTAAACGGGTACGACGACGCCGTCGAGAGCAAGGATACGAACAAGCGCCGGGCGGTGGTGCCCTGCGTGGGGGTGGGGCTCACGGCCCGGCTGGAGACCTTCTCCGAGGAAGATATGTTCCCCGACGGCTTGGTCAGGTTCGTGAAGGTATAATGGAAAATGAACATGTGCCTATCTATGTAGTAAAAAGATGAATATTAACAACAAAAAAATGTGGCCACGTTTCAGTTTGAATATGGGTTTGCATGTAGCTGCACGAAGACCAGCACATGAAAAAAAAGCTGCAAAATAAATGCTTTGTGCTTCTCGTGTGTGGAGGTCTGGGTTGCAAAAAACTTCCTGCTGATGTTGAAAAAGGTTGGCCTCTTCTTCGGCTGCGGGTGGATACTACAGTGAAAAATGCCCCCACCCCTGAACTTGCGAGCATTGGTATTGCAAACCCTTCCAATGGAAACATTCCCCGTCTTGCATATATCAGCATCACAGATTTTCCATGCTGAATAGCTCAAATACAAATTTGTGGCGCAGAGGAGCCCAACAGCAGGCGGATCTGTTATGTGAGAGATACCTTGCGCGCTTAGATTCTGCATCAGAAAGGACTCGCAGTCCTTTCATGCAAGACAAAAAGCTTCCATTCGGAAACTTTGCATGAGAAATTCCGGGGTGGTGGCGTTTTTCATTGTAATAGTGGACGCCGTTTAACGACTTTTCCTACCCGCCACGGGTCGTCGAGTTTTATTCCAGCCGGGAACTGCCAAACTGGCCGCGGGCCGCGCACGGGCGCATTTGGCTGGCCCCGGAAACCCGCGTCGGCGGGCGGCTCAAGGCTCGATTCCTAGCGGGCTACGCAGGCGGGCCGGGGGCGATGCGGCAGGGAATGACGGGCGCGTCTACGGTGCATCCTGTCACCATGCTGAAGAACCGGCAGAATGACCAGAGCGTGGGACGGATCGTCGCTACGATTGAGACGGATGTGCAGAAAAGCGAACGCATGCTGTCCACGCTCCGGAGCCGCAACAGGGTCAACAGGGAGGGCGTATCAAATGCAAATATCTACTCCGGGTGGTCTGGAAACTTGTGATGGTAAAATGTGGATGATTGAAACACTTTCGAATGCAACCAAGCATGACAACTTTCTACCGGCGCGCTCTCGTCTCATATGCAGCTCGCGTGAGAAGCTGCGGTTTTGTATGACGCACGAGCCTGCGTTTTGTGTTGGTCATGCAAAAAAGTACAGACTCCACAAGAAAAATGTAAGACCAGCATTAGCACAAGTTCAAGTTCGAACGTTCCAGATCCCTGCATTTTATTTTATGCAATGCATAGGTCGTGCGGGCCACGGAGGCCGTCATGGAGCTGAAGGAGGAGCACCAGTGCGACCCGTCCGCGGCGCTGCGGCGCATCGTCTTCGAGGTCAGCGCCGTATGACAGTGCACAACACAACTCGTCCCCTTCCACTTCCTCCTCATCTGTACTATGGCAAGAACTACAGCAACACAAGCAACGGCAGCTACGTGGCTTCCGCATGACAATAAATCTGCGCTTGGGTCAGAGTACTGCTTGAGCTTGTTCCAAAAGTTGGCATGCAGACACTGCCTAAGAGCAGGATGTCGACTTGGTACTATTTTGCATCACAAATGAGGGGAAGTAGGGGGGGTTGGGCACTCTGATGCGCCGGGACGTCTACGGAATCGGTCACGGACACGGCGACCGGGACCACCTACGATGGGAAGTGGCGGACCGTGATGCAGCTGCCGCACGTATCTTAAGTAAACAGGGCCGCATCGTCCCACGACATTCGTCAGGCAAATTTGCAGTTACAGAAAGAATTGTATATCCGCATCCCCATGAGTGGAATTTGTAATGCTGTAAACAGGACAAGCAGACGCCTTTGTGATGCTGCTGCACTTGCTCTATTGCATTAAAATACAGAGTGAAAGAACTTGTCATGCGTGACTCCCAAGAAATGTTCTTGCTTTGTAAAAATGAGGGACCCCGATCGCGATCTTGACTCTGGTAAGGTCGTGGGGAAGATGTTTTTACACAGGACAGCGCGCCGAGTCTTTCCAGGCGCCTTTCTCGATGTTTGGGTTTGTATCCTGTGCAAAAGTATCGTACTCGTATAAATGCAAGTCTTCCGTGACAAATATTTTTCTGAAGGTAAAACCGCACTACAAATTTTATTTCTCATGCTGGGAAAATTTGTAATGCATTTATACGAGTACGATAGTTTTGCAATTCATAGTTTGACCTGATCAACGACTTCGTCCTGTCGCGGTACGTATCAAATGTAAAAATGTCTGGGTCTGGAAGATTGCCAGGTTTGTCATGCACATTTTGCATGACTCCTGATGTCTGTGATGCATACCCTAGCAATACAGATTTTCTGGGGGCTTCTTGATGCCTATTCCGCATGACAAATTCCTTCTCAGCGTAGCAAAAATTGCATTCCGTTTGCTACTCATGCAATACAGATTTTTTTGGAATCTAGATACAGCATCACAAGTTGCATTCTTTCAGACCCAGACATTTTTACATTTGATACTCGGGGCAGACGAACCACGTCGGACGGCAGGTACTGTACACCGTGTCCACGGATTTGGGAATCATGACGCAAACCTATGCTGAGCAAAAATGACTCCACCCCATAGTCAAGTTGGTAAATCTGCAACACAAATCCCCAAGTCTTGGGAGTTGTGCATGACAAGTTTTCATCTGCAGTGTAGTGGTGGTTAGCAAGGGAAGCCGCATGACAAACCCACTTTTTCATTCTGTTTACAGCATGGCATCATGTGCCAAAACACGACTGGAAATGCCTCTCATGGAGATGCGCACTACAAACGTTTCGGTCATTGCGCATTTGCATGACAGCCCTGGGCGGCTGGGGACGTCTTTACATAGGATAAAACCGGCAGCGACCTGCGCGTGTGGGATCACCGGGTGTCTCTCTCGTCCCTGACCGCAGAGTTTATCTCGCCCACCGCGTTGTCCGTCCGTGCCTCGGCGTCGCACCCACGGCTGCGAATCGGCTGCGAATTTGATGGCAACGAGCAAACCTACCCCATGCTGTATCCTATGTAAAAACGTCCCCACGCCATAGTCAAGATGGGAAATCTGCAACACAAATCTCCAAGCTTTGGGAGTTCTGCATGACAAGTTTCCATCTGCAGTGTAGTGCTGGTTAGCAACGGAAGCCGCATGAAAAAGCCATTTGCTCATCCTGATTACAGCATTACAAATTCCAAAACACAACTGGAAATGCCTCTCAAGGAGATGCGCATTACAAATGTTCCTGTCATTGCACATTTGCATGACAACTCTGGGGTGGGAACGTTTTTACACAGGATATGCTGCTGGCCACGCCGGAGTGCCAGCTCGAGGCCGCGTGCCCCCAGGTGCTCACGTGGCAGACCCGCCGGTCGGAGCCGGGCGTGGTGATATCAAAGTGAAAAATCCCCCCTCCCCATATCAAAGCCGAAATCTGTGATGCGGGATTTGTGTACACAAATCTAGCAGTAGAGGACTGCAGGCAGATGCAGCGCCTGAGTAGGGGCGTTTTGCTGTAGGCACTTAGCAAGGCAGGCATATCCTCTGTAGGCGATACAGCATCACAAAGCCCTGCGAAACGCGGCCGATTCTCTGGCTTTGCCCTCTTGCAATACAGGGACGATTTGTGGTTACAAATCAGCATCGCAAACTTTCAGCAGTGCCCCTTTTTGGTACGGGGAGGGGGGATTTTTCATCACAATAGGCGGCCTGTGCGCTGCTGGGCGATCCACTGAATAAGGTAAGCACGATATCCCACAAAAAAACTGTTTCACTGTGATGATCTTGCAAGATCTGCGTCACAAGTTTGTTACACATGACACAGAAAATTTGCCATGCTCGCTTCCAAAGGGAAAACACCGCTAAAGAGTCGAGGTCTTGCAGGTGTGGCGAGACAAATAGCTCTGTGTTTCATTCTATGCATCACAAGTTTACAGTGAAACAGTTTTTTCTTGCGATACACGACTTACCGCGTCACCCGGGTGGAGTTCGTGAACACCGTATCAAATGTAAAAGTGTTTGGGTCTGGAAGATTGCAACTTGTCATGCTAAATCTGCAGCATGCAAAAATCTGTGTTGCGTGATTACCAAAAGTCGTCCAGTTTTGACCAATATGGGAGGTAGTTTCTCATGCAGGATAGGCATTAGAAAGGTCTCGCAGAATCTGTCATGCTAGGTCCTGCATTCCAGACCTCATGGGTCATGGAAAAGCAGCATGACAAATCGCGCATTCTTCCAGACCCAGACATTTTTGCAATCCATACACCGTGAGTGGCAACAATCTGCTGGTCCAGACCCGCCACACGGGCTTCTATGGATTGTAAAAATGTCTGGGTCTGGGAGGTTGGAACTTGTAATGCTAGCTTTCCATACCTAGAAAATCTGTATTGCATGACCAACAAAAGTCGCAGCCTCTTTTGTCATGCAAAAACGCAGCTTCTCATGCGGATTGCCTATGAGAAAGCGTTTTGGGAAGTTGTCATGCCGGACTGCATTCGGAAGTGTTTTCATCATGCACATTTTAGCATCACAAGTTTCCAGACCCAGACATTTTTACATTTGATAGCTTCGACCAGGTGTCGACGGCGCACGGAAAAATGATCTACGACCAAGTCTCTACCGTTTCCGCTCGCATCTACGGTTCCCTAGGCGTGGTCCGGGAGAAGAAGCGCCCGGTCAAGATCACGGTTTCGCTCCGCGCCTTCTCCGGTACTGCAAGCTCGCGCGGGGCTGCGTCGACCCTGACATCCCCGGGCGCGGTGTCGTTTTCCGGGAACGCGGAAAGCGCGCGACTGCGGCAGTCGGCACTGCTGTTCACGGATCAGAAAATATCCGGCGACGCCGCCCTCGACCTGAATCTGGACGACGCGGACCTCGCGGTTCTGGTGCCCATGATCTGCGGCACCTACGAGCTCGCCCCCGTGCTGCGGAACGGGTTCCCGTGGTACCGGAAGAGGCTTTCCAGCTTGAAAATCGCGGACGTGTTTTTTAACACGACAAAACGCACGTGGCATATGAACGCGTCAGGATTCAAATCGTCAAAGTTGAAATAGTTTCTCATGCATAAAATGCAACCCACAGAATGCCTGTCTTGCAGAGTAGGCAAGTGAAGCAGATTGTAAGCCTGTTGAGGGGTAGAAACTGCGCTGCTACGACAAAAGACGTCTTCCTTACCCAAACAGCATGACAAACTGGATCTCGGTTCTACCCAAATTTGTCATGCGCCACTTCGAAACTGGGCCACAACTTTCATCACTTTTATGCATTACAACTTTGTGGATTTCAATCCTGACACATCCATATGGCAGCTGTGGCTGAAGACGCCGATGAGGGACGGCGCAACGACGGATGCGGCGTGGTACGAAACCATGGACGGGGGGAGAGGAATGCCAGTTAGTTCTACCAGCACAGGAGGCGCGACGAGGACTACTTCTCCAGGAGAACCCATACAACCAGTGCCAGTGGCTAGTACAATTGGTGCCGCGTTGGAATCGAGTTCGAACTACGAGTATGCCGACGTCGAAGACCTGTCCAGCAGTGGGGGCAACGAGGTCCAGGACGTGCTGCTCACGGAGTCGGAGGTACTTACCGGCGCGCACAGCCAGCCAACAACGCCCGATCAGGCACAGTGGGACGTTTTGCAGGTGAAACTTACCGCGGACACGCGGATCCTGGAGCGAGCGCTTATCGAGTGCCGCATGTACAACCTGCCCCTGGAACCTTGCCACGAGGATGTAGTGCGGAACGCCGCGGACAGCGGCAGCTTCTGCTTTCTTTTCCAGGCTCCCGTCGGTTTTTTTCTCGCCGTATTCATTGCAAATATGTCTGGGTCTGGAAGGATGCAACTTGTGGTGCTACCTTTGGACTCTACATGAAATCTGTATTGCATGAGCAGCAAAAAAGGCGCAATTTGTGCTACAGATCGAGGGCATTTCTCATGCGGTATGAGCATCAGAAAGCCCTCGCAGAATCTTTGATGCCAGGGCGTGCATGACAGACCTCTTGGGTCATGCAAAATCAGCATGACAAACTCCTGCATTCTTCCAGATCCAGACATATTTGCATTTGATACGCCGACGGGTATCGGCACCGCGTGGTCTGCCGGGTCCGCGACGCCGAGTCGATGGTGCTGGGCCGCCCCAACGAGGTGGTGGGCGCGGTGGTGGTGGCGCGCCCGAAATTCCGCGTCACACCGGATTTGGTGGAGATGGGCACCGAAGTGGACGGGACGATGGACAAGCTGTACCGGTTTCAAGGCAGTACGCCGGGGCTTACCGTCGTCTTCCACTTGCTCAGCGAAGAGCAGTGGGACACCAGGCGGTGGTATGCAAAGAAAAACGTGTTACACTTAGTACTACACAAGTTGTGTTGCACGACGAGGTCACAACAAGCAAGACAGACCTCTGCATAATTGCAAGTTTTGGTTTTCGTCGTCGTAGTACAGGGAAAAAACACAGCACATAGAGAGTTCGTGGCTCGCCTGATAGTTTCCCTGCACTACCTCCAAACTATCAAAGAAGCTCGTGCAACTGCTCGCGTTGTGTTTTTGAAAAAGGTACAACGATTTGTGTGTAAGTGTAACATTTGAAGCGCGTTTTTCTTAGGATAGTTCGCTGGTGGGGCTGCCGCTGAAGCCGCGGACCATCTACGCCGACCTGGGCGGAGAGCGTGCTCCAGGTAGAAATGCAGCGGGCGGGAGTATTTTTGACAAAAATGGAGCCGCGTCCGAAAGGAGCGATAGTGCTGGCACGTCGAAAGATTCTGCGGCAGCTCGTGAGTCGTCCACCAGGAAAACGACGTGGACGCTGGCGGGGAATTTAGGCGTATCCGCCGCGAATCAGTTCCGGGGTAGTCCGGGCACGACCTACGTCTTTTCCGCCGTGCCGCATTCGGGGGATTCCGTCGGGAACCCCGTTCGGTTCGTGTTGTCTGTGCCCTTTTCGAATTCCCTGATTCTTCGTTACTACGGCCTTTTGGTCATTATCGTGCATAGCCTGCTGACGCTGTTTCTCATGGCCGGGCCCGTCTACGCGTTTTCCAGGGGGGCGAGTTTGCGGGTCAGCTTCAACCGGCTGCGACGGGTGATCGGCGCCAGTGGGCAAATTGCGTTGACGGCAGTGGCGGTTTTGGGCAAGGGCGCGCTTTATATCCCAAAAAAAAGAGCACGCAGGGCATATTTGTAAAGCAAAAACAAATACACAGAAGAATCCGCATTGCGCATTTTCAACAGCATCCTATGCTGGGCTCCCTCATGATAGATTTGTCTGTTAATTTTTTCTGTCATTACACTGCCTGCCCTTTTTCGTGGGATACTGTACGGGTGGGTCCTGCACATCTGGGCGACCGAGCAGAAGTCTCCCTACATCTTCGTGTTTCTTGGAATAGACGTGACTGCCGTTTTATGCAAAAAATAAAAATGCTTGCAAAACAGTATCGACGCGGTAGTAAAGAAATTTTTGCATTTTACAAAAGTAAATTTTGTCACACGATGAAAAAATAGAATTTGTGATGCTGACTGAAAAACACCCAAGACAAGAGGTGGCAATTATGTACGGGAGATTTATTGTGATATGCATAAATTTCAATCAAGTACTACCACGTCGGTACTATCAGATACAACTTTTGCGCAGCATGCGTTTGTCTCTTCCTCGCGCGACGGGTGGTAGTTCAAATGGCGCCGTCTATCAAACGTAAAAATGTCTGGGTCTGGAAAAGTACAGACTTGTCATGCATATTTTCCATGACCCATGAGGGGTGGAATGCGGGACCTAGCATCACAGACTCTGCGAGGTCTCTGTCATGCCTGTCTTGCGTGGGAAACTCCCTCCCAACTTGGTCGAAAGTAGACAGCTTTTGGCGCTCGTGCAACACAAATTTTTGCATGCTTCGAATTTAGCATGACAAGTCTACACTTTTCCAGACCCAGACATATTTGCAATGCATACCGTCCTTTTTCTCGCAATCTGCCGCGGAGTCTAAGGTTGAATCGGAGATCCGCCGCATTGTTGCAGTGGGAGCGCAGCAGGAGATTATGGAATGCACATATGTCTGGGTCTGGGAGACTGCAAGATTTGTCATGCTAATCTGGCATGACTCTGAACTCTGTATTGCGTGGCCGCAAAGAGCTCCGCCGGCCTGTCATGCAAAGGCGCAGGTTCTCATGCTGAGTACGCAACTCAGAACCACGGCAAAACTTGTCATGCTGTGCAGCGCATTGCAGTTTTTTCACTATTCCTTTCCTTGCATCACAAGTTTCCAGACCCAGACACATTTGCATTTGATAGAGATTTCCAGACTGCAAGCCCGGTTGCTGAACACCTACTTTCAAATTGCCAACTGCCACGAGCAGGAAAACAGCTCCACGGTGAAGTTCCTCACCAAGGAGATTGTGAATCAGTTGCAGTACCTGCAGGCACACTGCCTGGAGACGCAACAAGAGCTGGCTCTGCGGTTGAAGGAGGTCCAAAAAGCGTACAGCACCACGTATCCGCAGGAGTGGGCCCGGCTCCTGCAGATTCCGAGCCGGTCCCTTGGCCAGGTCGCGCAGCCGAATGGGGGCTGTGTCTGGTGGAAGCAGAGAACTGCGGGCAATCTTCTGCCACCGCAAAATGCATCGGCCCCAAGTCGGCAGGGAACTGAGGACGCGGAAGTACCCTCCTCCTCGCCAGGGGCGGGACAGACACAGAAGAACCCGAGCACGGCACTACAGGCGATGAAGTTCGTGAACTTTGATACGACGGAAATTTCCGAATACCAGTCGGATACGCGGCCGACGAAGTGGCAGCAGCAAATACTGCAATGAAAAATGCCCCCACCCCCGACTTAGGAGCACTTGTATTGCAAGTCTTTCCAAACGAAACATTCGCCTTCTTGCATCTATCAGCATCACAGGTTTCTTATCGTGAATAGCAAAAATTTGTATTGCAAAAGACTCCAGCAAGAACGGCGCTTGTCATGCAGGCGATGCGATACACGCCTAGACTCTGCATCAGAAAGATTCATACTCCTTTCAAGCATGACAGAAAGTTTTCATTTGGAAACTTCGCATCACAAATTTTTGCAAGTTTGGGGGTGGGGGCGTTTTTCACTGTAATAGCAAACCGTGGCCGATTTGGTGTCCGAGCTGGAGCTATCGTAAGGAAAAATCCCCCATATATCGAAAAGTAGGCACACCGCATAAAATTTGCCATGCTGATTTGTGACCACAGATCGCGGCCCCGGTCTTGCAAGAAGGCAACCCCGCAGGCCCCGCAGCATTATGTAGGCGGTTTGTGATGCTATTGGGCCTACAGCATAGACGTTTTCCGTGCTAAGCACCTAGGCCAGCACCTCTCTGCTCCGGCTTGATATGATGGGCCTGCAGTCATGTCCTCTACTGCACTACAAATTTGATTTGTGTATACGACTCCAGCATCAGAAGCCTCGTTTTGATATGGGGAGGGGGGATTTATTTTCCTCTTGATAGTCTCGGCGGGGGCTCGGAACCGTGGGTAGCAGTCGGCGGGACCGGCTGACCTTCTTCGTGTATCAAAGTGAAAAAAGCCCCCACCCCATATCGGAAACGGAAGACGCGCGAATTTGTGATGCTGTATTTGAGTACACAAATCGACTTGTATTGCTAGAAGGCCAAGAGACGAAGCTGCGGCCTAAATTGCAGGCAGTCTGTCATGCTGTTTCCCACTTCCAGTTGCCTCCTGTCATCCTGGAGCTGCAAGGCTTTCCCACGCTAGGCAGCACTACAGTCCGCATCTTTTGCCTTCCAGCATCACAAAGCTGATTCGTGACCACAAATCTGCATCACAGATTTCCGTTTTGATATGGGGACGGGGCATTTTTCATTGTAATATCGTGGACCAGGCATCCTGGGCCAAAGATAAGTTCGCGAAAACGTTGCAGCGCTACGTCCGCTATGCTGAGTAAAAACCTCCACCGCCCCCTCGCCTGCCAGTACATAAACGCCCCAGAGTTCTTGTCATGCAAATCTGCATGCCAAAAAAGTTTCTCATGTGGAGCCCCATGAGAAGCATTTTCTAGTCGTGTTTTGGAGTTTGTGATGCTAGAATCAGCATGATATGCTAGTAGACCTGTGACGCTGCTGAACTAGCGAAACAGGGTCAACACACTACGAGGGCAAATTTGTCATGCGAAACAGCGAAAGCTGGTTGATTTGTCTAGCAGATTTCCCAGCATCTTGACTCTGGTCGTGTGGGCACATTTTTACTCAGGATATCCGCGACTTCAATTTCGTCGGCAACACGGAGGCGGAGCCGGCCACGGCACTCGGACTGCACGCGGCAGCCATTTACGCCCGTTGGAACGGCGAAAACCCCGACGCCCCGCTGGCCGACACGCCCTTCGACGCAAGGGCGCAGCTTCTCCGCGGGTCAAAACCAGAGCTGAGTGTGGAGAGGCTGCTCGCGAATTCTGGCGCGAAGGAGTTTCTGGAAGCGGGGAGCCTGTGCGCCCTTCATATCAAATGCAAATATGTCTGGGTCTTGAAGCATGCATGTTTGTCATGCTTGTCTGGCATGACACTCAAATCTGTCATGCACGTATACCCAAGAGCGCCACTTTTCTGTCATGCAGAAACGCAGTTTGTCATGCACAATGGGCAACGGAACACCTAGAAGGTCAGAAACTTGTCATGCTGAGCCAGCACTTGTGGCCTCCTCATGATACGCCGCCCAGCATCACAATTTTCCAGACCCAGACATATTTGCAATGTATACTTCACATCGGGGAACTCAAGGAGCTTTTTGCCTCGGACTTGAAGTGTCAGCGGATTGAAAAGCAGCTGTTATCTATCGAACAAAAAAAGTTCATCGGGCCGATCACTCATGCGCATTTTTGCAATAGTACAAAACTTTCTGTCAACATGCGTGAAAATGCATCACAGCCAAATTTCAACATAAGGGAGTTGCCCAGTGTTCCTGCAATACAAGGAAAAGCTGCGATGGTAAAAAAAAGTGTAATGCAAGACCTGCAAGTTTTTACTGACTGTGACAAACTTTTTTCTCTCCATATTATCTACGGGTAGTACTAGAGGTCGGGCAACTGGCGAACAGCAAAACGCTGGACCACGACTGGCTCAACAGCAGCACACGGAAAACTATGTAACCGATGTGCTGCGGGCGCGCATCATTTTCGTTTCCCCCATATCTCACAGAAAAAAGTAGGCAGAGATGGGCGTATAATCTGTAACTCATCAAAAATAGATCGATACTTACACAAGGCGTAATCTGCGAAACAGCACGTTCTGGGCGGCTCGCCCATGGCAGATTATTTTTCTGTTAATTTACTTTGACTTTCGCATTACAGATTTGCTTTTGCCCTGCCGGTCCTTTTCTGTGGGATGCCTGACCGCACTGCTGGTATTTTTCTGGTACATGGTCTACGGGCAGGAGGAGCTAGTCGTTGTGGGCATACATAACAAGTTTCAGGAAACCGAGGACAGTATCAACTGCAAATATGTAGTTTAGCCGTGGTCAGTCTGTCTGGAAGAACTTTGTATACGGTGATATTACTTGCTGCCAGAGCGACCGCTTGCACAACGGGATGACAGGATCAGAAGTTATTTTGCATTGATTCGCAATCGACGTACTAAAGGGCATGACAAACCATTGCCACGCAGCACGAAAAAAAGGTAGTCACTCGTCCTATCCCTGGCGTGCATCACAGATCTTGTTCTCCTTCACATTTCGCATCACGAATCCAGATGATGATGAAGTAAACATGTTTGCAATGCATAGACAGCAACGAAACCCCGGCCTCTGCGGCGGACAGCAGTGGGCAGCAGCAAGCGATCACCATCCCCGATTTATCCTGAGTAAAAACATGATCCCCGTCCCATAGTTGTCATGCAGAATTGCCAACAGGAACGTTTGTAATGTGCATCTTCATGATAGGCATTTCAAAGCGTGTTTTGGTATTTGTAATGCTGCGAACAGGATAAGCAGATGGATTTGTGATGCGGCTGCTCGCACTAACCTGCACTACACTACAACAGAGAGAAGCTTGGCATGCGTGATGCCATCCCCGCAGTAGCAGAGTCTGTTTATGTCATGCGTGATTCCCAAAGCTTCTGGATTTGTATTGCGAACGTCTCAGAAGCTTGACTATGGGTTGGGTACGTTTTCACATAGGATGCGACTTGGTGCTGCAGGTGCAGTTCGTGATGCCAAATTTCGGGACGGCCGAGAACCTCGAGTTTGTGGCGGAAATCAGCCTCCGCCTCGAAGCCTACGCCCTGACGCGGGATATCGACTACGTGTTCCAAAAAATCCAGCGGGCAACGTCCATCACCAGCTTTTTGGAGCCCCTGTTTCCGGATTTCGATGCTTCGGTCTTGGAAAAGGTCAAGCAGGTTCGACGGGACGGTGGCCGGACCGGGCGGCGCGAGGCGTGAGCGTCGTCTCTGCGGCTATTCGCTATCCAAGGAAAATAAAAGTAAATTTGTATTCTAGAGTTATTGGGACGGGTTGTACGAGTAGTACTACTAGCCCTGGAGGTGTTTTTCGCTTTATGTTTCTGTTTCATCAGGCAATTAGACCGAAAATTCCAAATAGCACCACGCTACGGCACGAGAATACGCATGTTTGCGTGTGCAGCTTCGATATGTCAGTTGATACTTCGAATCTATAAAGGCCATCAGGCCGAGAGAGCACGATGTATAGAGTTTATTGGCAACATGATGTATAGATTTCTTTGCAAGTTGTGACCAGCAGCGCAGGATTTTTTTGAAAGCACAGATGGGGTATTGCTGGCCGCGAGCGGGCGTCACCTGAATACTTGAAGAGTTTCACTGCAGAAGTTTCGCGATTAGTTTTTGGAAGGACGTTGGTAAAGTTTTCTATGCGGCTGAAGAAGTAGAATCTGCTTGTGGCTACAGCGTGTGGCGGCATGTTGGCGACCTGCTGCACATTATTCAGGAATAAATGCAGAAGAGCGTTCTTTACGTTTTTTTTGTCATGATTGATGCACACGCACCAGTTTTTTTGTGCCCGCAACGCGATCTATCATCAACTACAGGGAGGTATTTTATTGCCCAAGTATGACCACGAGGGACGTATCTGAAGGATCTGAATGATTCGAGTTTTTTTGGAGTAGGGAGAATCTCGACCTTTTTGGGGCGTTTTATGGAGTGAGCCTGGGCACTGCGATTTTTTTGCGGCGCGACCAGCTGGCGAATCCACGCTCGATCCAACGGCTTTTTTCCGACGATGTGCATTGGAAACATTTTTTTTTGATGTCGTGCTTTGGTAAAAGTAATCGTGCGCAAGGACGAGAACTGCGGGATCAACCCGGCGCTCCTCGGGCATGGCAGAGGAAAGAACAAGTACCTGCGGGATGAACAGTCTAGTTTTATTTTTACCTTGGACTTCGCACGGCGGAAGTCTTCAATTTTTGCATGATCGAGTGACCGTGAGGACTTGTCATCCGGCTGTAATATGGCGTAGTTGTGTAGTTTATGTGTAGCCACGTAGAGAAAATACCGATGCTATCAAGAACCGTGAGCGAGACGAATCCGCACGGTGCGGTGTTGCCGCCGGGGGCTTTGGACGATCTCAACCTCCTCCCGAGTAGTAAAACTGGCAGCGTCAACTTGGCGGGCCTAGACCAAAACGAAAACTCCTTGTCGTCCTCGTCAACCTCCTCCGTGAATAATAATTTCGGTTGTAGTACTAGTTCGGCGTCGTCATTATCCCAATCGAATAAGCCCGTCAACAAGCCACCGCAGTTGAATATCAATTTGATTAACCAACAGGAAAACAGCACCTCGAGCACGAATGACACGACGAGGAGTAGCAGCTCCTTTATGGAGCAGCACACCACGACCTCCAGTGGAGGTCTTACTTTCCCGGGCAGCAATTTGACTACGCCCAGTAATCAACCACACGGAGCTGGGAACAACTTTTGTAACGCAGCTGGTTCTACTTCGAGTGGCACGCCATCGGGATCGGGACAGGGAATAAACACCTCCAACTCGTCGTCTTTGTTTGTGTCCAGTTTGAACAGTTTAAACAACTCCGTGGTACCGCGGACGAAGCAGATTTTGGACCTTTTGCTGAATATAGGCGGTGGATCTACCACTTCGGGAGGAATATCAAATGGCGCTCCTGAGCGACCTAGCGGTTCAATACCAGTACACGGGGCCGCGACCGGTTCGACTCCGAGTACTATACCGGGGGGTATGATGGGCGGGGGTCAACAGCAAAATCTTGATCCGCTTCTAGTAGAACACCAAAATGCTGCAAGCGGTGCAACGTCCTCGGGGAATAACCACAGTGTTCCTGCTTTGACCCAGCTGAGTCAAGTGAACCAACAGAATATCAACCTGCAGATGATGCACATGCTGAACCACAGCGGGGGTGGTGCACCTTGTTGTAATCATGCCAATCTACCCAATGGCTCTACCGGAGGCGTTCTTGGACAACATTCGCAGCAGAATCTTCAGCCGCAGATGTTGAATCAAGCGGGAGCATCAATCAATTTCCTAGCGACCACTTCCGCGAGCGTGGTCGAGAACGCGCCACTTGAAGGAATAATGACTCAGCAATCAGCCGCGCCGCAAGCGCAACAGGCAGCTGTAGTCCAGCAGCAGCAGCACCAGCAGCAGCAGCAGCAAGTACCACACCAGCAACCGACGCCTTCGCAGTTCGTGCAGTTTCAACAGCCACCGCAATTCATCACAACGCAGAATCTTCAGCCACCAATGGCCAACACGAGCGCCACCGTCGGGACGTTTGGGTCCTTTGAAAGTCTGGAGCAGATTTGGTCACAGCTGAACGCGGCCAATTTAGTCCCGCAGAATAATGGGGATGGCGGTGCTGGTATGACAAGTGCGCAACAGCAGCAGCAGCAGCAGCAGCAGCAAGGGCTGCAAATGAATTTGAACCAAAACAGTTCCAACTTGTCGCAACATCATCCTACACAAAACATCGTGAACAATCAGCAGCAAAATCAGAACGTTCTTTTCGGAAACCCGCAACCTGGTGGGAGCAACAACATCAACATCAACCCTTCTTTCGCCCTGAACCAAGTCAGCCCGTTATTGTGGCAAACGCCGAATACGACCGGGTCGCACAATCATCGAACCACTTCCGCTGACTCTCTTTTCGAACCCTCGCCACAGATGCTGAGTTCTTCGGGGGGGATGTTGAGTAACACGAATGATTTGATGAACCGCACCTGCATATTGAGAGGAAAAATTCCCCCTCCCCATATCGAAAAGGTATGTTTCCGAAAATTTGTCTTGCTGATTTAAGACCCCAAATCAAGTCTGTCTTGCAAGAAGACAACTCCGCAGGCTCTGCCGCACTATGCAGGCGGTTTGTCATGCTGTTGGGCCTACAGCATAGACGTCTCTCATGCTAAGCGCCTAGGCCGAAAGTTCTCTACTCAGGCAGGGCAGGAGCCTGCAGTCCTCGCCAGCAAGACAGATCTGATTTGAGTACGCAAATCCAGCATCAGAAACTTCGTTTTGATATGGGGAGGGGGGATTTTTCCTTTTGATACTGCAGCTACGACAGTGGCTTCACAATGGTGAGTTGCCAAAGCTCCTTCCACCCGCAGCAGCAGCAGGGAACAACGATGAACCAGGGGACTAATTTTTCTGCAGGTAATATAGTACAACCTCCGGCGAGTCGTGGTTCCTTTTCTTCTAATGTTTTCACCAACGTGAACCTACTGATGGAGCAGCAGCAGGAGCCTCTGGCGGGACCATTTTTACAACAACCGATGGGTCGTTGTACTAGCGGCGGATCTAGTGTAAAAATCGGGGATCATCAATTACAAGCAGGGGCCGGAGCGGGACACTTGGCTGCAACCGGGACAATCAATACTGGGCCGCCAGCAACAGCAGCGGTCGCACCCTCCAACCTGAACTTGAATCTGTTCAGCCCACCGATATTAAACGGGACAAGCAATCCTGTGAGCCACGGCATTGCTACGAATGGGACTCCGATGAATTCCTCGGAAATAAGTAGGAGCAACATCGCCCGAGAACCTCCGCAAGGTGCCAACCCTGAAGCAGGTGGGGCGGTACACCCGCAGTTTGTGCTGAACTTTGGAGAAACTATCAACCAGAACAATTTCTTTCCCACGCCCGATACCACCCCGGTGAGCCACAACAGCGGTGTGCACATCAACAACCACAGCGGTTGTGTGGATCTGAACTTGAACGTGGTTGGGCCGGCGCATCATGGCAACACAATTACCGGAGGGCCAGTAGCATCACAGGCTCACCATGCTTGCGGCGCCGGTCCTGGTTTTGGTGCGCCTCCAAATCCTGTAGTGCTAAACCCGCAGCCAGTTTTGTGTCCTGGAAATAGCGCTAGTGGGGCGGCCACGGAGGGTACTTAGTTCTAGATGGGGTTATTGAAACAATGCCGGTAGAAGTGGCACACTGTATGAACTATTTCTATTTCGTGGATGTGGGCCTGCATAATTACTTGCTCTGGCATGTTGTTGATGCCGTGTGCCTGAGTAAGTGTACAGCGGACCACAGCGACATTCACGACCTACTTCATCAGGTCCGAGTGCACCAGCTGGTGTGCCGACGCTCTGTGCCTACCAAAGAGCTACAGCTGATGAAGAGATTGCAGAGAAGAAAACTACCGGTGTTGGTCCTCATGGTGCAACGGCAGGATCTTCGGCTATCAAAAGGAAAAATCCCCCCTCCCCATATCGAAAACGAAACTTCTGATGCTGGATTTGAGTACACAAATCAGAATTGTCTTGCTGAAGAGGACTGCGGGCCCGCATCAATCCTGAATAGAGAGGCTTTGGCTTAGGCACTTAGCATGAAAAACGTCTGCGCTGTCGGTCAAACAGCATTACAAACCGCCTGAATAATGCGGCGGAGCCTGTGGAATTGCCTTCTTGCAAGACAGAGATCATTTGGGGTCGCAAATCAGCATTGCAAATTTTCTGCGACGTACCTTTTCGATATGGGGAGGGGGAATTTTTGCCCGCGATATCGGCGAGAAGTTCCTTTGGGGATCATCCCGGAGAACAAGAGCAGCAGCAGCAGAATTACAACGGACGCAGTTCTTGTTTCCGAACGCGCAGCGGCCAAGGTAGGAATTACAACCAGAACGGGTACGGGAATGGGAATTCTGGTGCCACCTATCTATCGCAGAACTCATCTCACAGAACTACCGGGATGATGGACAAGGTACGGGTACTACTATTAGCCGTGAGCAACTTGGTACGGTTATGCAATTTTCATTCTGGTCGCCCCGTCTTGTCGATCCGGAGGTTCGTGCTGTTTCGAGGATCTGTATCTGATGAATGTAAAAATTCAAATCCAAATACAGCCCGTGTCCAACAGCAACGAAGCAGGCTTTACTTCCCGCTCTGAAGACCACTACACTCAGCGCAATTATCATCAGCCAGCTCGTTTCCATCCGCGGACAACCGGTGCCACCAGCAGCAGCGCGTCTTCTGCGGCAGGGAATCATCCTAACATGAGTCGAGTCTTCAGCACGCCGATGAAATCCGGTGGTCCAGCTTCACGTCAAAACACTGCTGCCTCCAAAAATCGTGATGAACAAGATGTTGACAAAAATCTCTACCGTGAGTTTTCGCCGAAGTCCAAGTGTGAGCAGCAGAGAGGCGCCGGGGTGGGAAGTACTACGAGTGGGTCGTTGTCCAATGCGGCCGGTAGAAGTGAGCGAGAGCTGGCGCACGACCCAGATCGCAATCTCTACGCGCCAAAGCACGGAGCGACGACTGATCGCGGAGGTGGATGCAGTGGTGCTTCGGCTTCGACCGGTGCTGGCGCTAGGTCTACTACTTTCCAGCAAAATAATGCAGCGGGTCGTGCAGGGATTGCAATTGCATCTGCAACTTCTTCTCGACGTGGATATCTGGATAATTCTGAGCAGCAATCCAGTCAATCGAACCTCCAGAACGAGCCGAAAAATTCTTGCCACAACACGACGACACTGCTCTCGACGTCTCTCATCGCTTCCGCGCCGACCGAAAACTTGCAGCACCATTTGCTTCAGTTCCAAACGTTTGAGCTGACGTTTCCAAAGCACAGGGCTCCCTTACCGACTCACCCAACTTTCAAACGGATTTTTATGCGGGACGAGCAGGACAACAGCAAGATTTTGTCGGATTCGGAGATTTGCTCTATCGCGCAAAGTGAGCCGGAAGTGTTGCAGTGGGTCCTGTACCAGGCGGCGGTGAAGGGGGTTATATGCACTGCAAAAGTGTCTGGGTCTGGAAGGTTGGAACTTGTCATGCTAAATCTGAATCACGCAAAAATCTGTGTTGCATGAAGATTGCCAAATGCTGCCCACTTTTGATCAAGTTGAGAGGCAGTTTCTCATGCAAGATAGGCATGGTAGTGATCTCACGGAATCTGGCATGCTAGGTCCTCCATTACAGATCATATGGGTCATGGAAAACCTGCATGACAAGTCGAGCAAAGTTCCAGACCCAGACACTTTTGCATTTGATAGGTTACTATGCGGGAGAACTCGGGTTCGGTCGGCTTGCCGGAAAGAAATTTGACGTCTCTCACTGCTCCTGGAGCACGCAGTCACACATCGGGAAAAGTGGAATCTAGCACGGGAGCACGCACTGGAAGTGCAGAAAAGGAGGCAAGAACTGCGGTAGAGGACAAGGAGAAAATCGATACAAATTCATCTTCGTTGGCACCCTCTTCTTCAAAACAAAAATTCCAAGCGTTTCCGACTTTTTTCGAAGATGAACGGGTAGAGGCGGTGATGCAGGCCCTGATTCGCTCCTCGGAGACTGCGTTCTTTGACCTTGCGGTAAGTGCTTACCACTTCGAGGTGTACTTTCGCTGCTTTCGCTGTTTTGATCATGCGCAACATTCTTTGGAAAGCACATGACTATGACAGCATTCATTTCCTAATTGCGATTTTGCATCATTTCTAAATCTTTGTTAAAACTCAGTCCGGCGACCGTCAGCAGGTTGTCGGCCGGCGGAACAACTTACTGCAACTCATCTTGGACATAATCGTTGTGCAGAACCGGAAAGACGATCTGCGTCACTTACTGCAAGACTTGCGGAAGCGGTTGCTGCAGCTTTCCAAGCAGGAGTACGCGGCGAGGACCATACAGAAGCTGATCGAGTGCGTGGGGCTGGTCACCGAGAAGAGCTTGGCTGCAACTTCTACTTCTTCTCATGCAGGAACGTCAAATAGAGAGGAGATACCAGCCGGCATGCAGAAACTATCAACAGAAGAAGCAGAGCAGCCGGGCTTCTTCATGGATTTCCTGAAAGAGTGCATCGACCAGGAGGTTGTAGAGGGGATGTTGATGACTATCGGGGGGTTATCAACAACATCTTCTTTGTCAACATGCGGGGGACCACAGGCACTAGAGAAGAAGAACAAGATCCGCATTGCCAATTGCCTCATGGTGAATGAGCACGGTATAATAGTACAGTTTGCTCCTTTTCAGCAACGTTCCTTTTGTTGAAACCTCTCGGGCCCGCTTTACAGACAGGGGAAGAAAGTTTGATATTTCTTCTATTAATAGATTGATTCGTACTGCGTTGATCTTCTTTGCAAAACAACTACAATAAAAAGGTCACCACATCCTGCAGCGTATCGGGCGGCTTTATGCGGAATCCGAGTTGATCCGGCAACACCTGCCCGCGCACCAAGAGGGCAGTTACCTGGTGGACTACATGAAGGATACTGTCGCCTACCTCTCGAAGGACAAAAATGCCTGTTGCTACCTCCAGAAAATCTGCGCCTCGGTCGCGACGGAGGCGCAAAAGCAGTGGATCGAGCGGGAAATCTTGGGTGATTGGCTCGCGATTTGCCAAAGCGAGTACGGAAACTACGTAGTGCAGAACCATTTGGAATTGCGGGGGAAGGAGATGATGGCACTTTTCATCTCGCAGGATAGGAACTACAAAAGTTCTTGTTCATCCTCTTCTACCACTTCGTTGGAGAAGGAGGAGGCGCAGAGGACGACCACGGAGACCACAAATAAATCCGGGCCAGACGAGGCGGAGCAAAGCTGCACATCATCTCAAAAGGGAGCTGCATCAAGTTATACGATCTCAACTTCGTCAAGCTACTTCGCCAGGGAGCTGGTGGACAAGATTTTGAACGGGAGTGGTATGGAGAACATGAAGGTGCCTGCTCCGCGTGGTCGTGTGCAGCAGGGTTCCCCCATGGAAGGACAACCAAGCCAGCTTGGTTCCTCGTCAAGTGGATTTTTAACATGTCACCATCCACAACAGCGCAACCTGTTCCACACCCTGGCCTTTCAGAAAGCGAGCTCCAATGTGCTAGAGAAATTGCTGGAGAATTTACCGCCAGTTTTTACAACCGCACATGAAGTGGATGAGCAGGATGATCTCCTTACCCAACTAGTTCTCCACGGTTTCTTCGCGCATCTGGTGAATGCGGACGATGTTTTTGGGAACAGGAAAAACAGCAGCACAATAGAATCTGCGACACAGCAGGGAGTTCTTGCACAGGAGCAAGCAGCGTCAACACAATCATACGCTTTGATGTCATCTTCAGCACAAAGTACAACATCAAACAGAAAGCAGCGGGCAAACGAGCTTTTCTACGAGTATTTCTCCAACAGCTACAGCAATTACGTGTTGCAGAAATTGCTGAAAATCTTGGCATATCAGATGTAAAAATGTCTGGGCCTGGAAGAGTGCGCGATTTGTCATGCAGCTTTTCCATGACCCATGAGGTCTGGAATGCAGGACCTAGCATGACAGATTCTGTGCGATCTCTCTCATGTCTATCCTGCGCGAGAAACTCCCTCCCGACTTGGTCAAAACTAGACGACTTTTGGTAATCATGCAACACAGATTTTTGCGTGCTTCAGATTTAGCATGACGCGTTGCATTCTTCCAGACCCAGACATTTTTACATTTGATATGGCAGGAGCGGCTGCATCGTCTGGAACGTCATCCGCTTCGAAAAATATGAATAAGGAACCAAACGCAAACCACCACGAAGTTCTCTTCCAGTTCCTCATGAAGAATTTCGTCGTTCCCTGCGTCTATTCCGAGTACGAAAGCGCGACGTGGAATTACGAGGAAAATTTGTGGAATTTGAAGTCCGTGTCCACGAAGCTTGTCCGGAGTTACGGTGTTTTTTTCTCGGTAGATTTAATCAACAACTGCCAGAAGATTCACCACGCGCAGGCGCGAAAACGGCGGGAACAGGAGGGTGTAATTGCGGCTGCGATGGGGCCGTCGTACTATGGTAGCGGCGGTGGTGGTGGGCGTGGTCGTGGAGATCAACACAGCGGTCCTTCTGCTGGGGGTCAACAACATCTTCGCAACTACACGGGTGCTGCCACCGCAAGCCAACATGGTTATCAAAACCGTCATCGACCACAGTATGCTCACGCGAGTAGCAGTTTCGGAGTGGTCGCAGGCAGTGCAGCTATGGCGGGAGCCGGGCCTGCATCCACTCTGGGCACCAGCGGGCAACATGTCGGAGGAGGAGGAGGGGGACATCACGGGAGAAGTAGTGGCAACATGGTAGGGGCAGGAGGATCTACTACTTCCCTAGGAGCTTCTGGATATGGACAAGCATACCATCACAATTCCGCTACATCCACCTCGGCTCAGCACAATTTTTACCACCACCATCATCACAGAGGAGGTGCTCAATCCGCCATTGGCTGCAGTGCTGGAACTGCAAGTAGCAACAGATACAGCACCCGGGGAGGAGGTAGTTCCGGGGCAGCCGCGCCAGGTGGAACATCAAGCCTATGAAATGTAAAAGTGTCTGGGTCTGGAAGAATGCGCGATTTGTCATGCAGCTTTTTCATGACCCATGAGGTCTGGAATGCAGGCCCTAGCATGACAGATTCTGTGCGATCTTTCTCATGCCTATCCTGCATGAGAATCTGCCTCCCGACTTGGTCAAAACTGGACGACTTTTGGTAATCATGCAACACAGATTTTTGCATGCTTCAGATTTAGCATGACAAGTTGCATTCTTCCAGACCCGGACATTTTTACATTTGATAAAGCCAACTACAGCACCACTATCTGCAGCAGCAGCTGAGGAATCTGCAGAATTGTAACACTTCGTCTTCTGGTTCTGTGTTCCACCGGGGTGGAGGTGGTAGTACTAGCAGCAACTTGCATGCGATGCAAAACTGGGACCACAACCCGCGGGAACATCACCAGTCTGATTTTTACCAACAACCAAAATCCTACTACGGGCACGGCAACAATAACATCAGCCAGAGCTCCTGCAGAACTACTACGGGGGGCAGTTTTCTTAATATCAAAAGGAAAAATCCCCCCACCCCATATCAAAAAGAAGTTTCTGATGCTGGATTTCAGTACACAAATCAGATTTGTCTTGCAGTAGAGGGCTGCAGGCATATGCCCAGCCTGAGCCGCAATGTTTTGGCGTAGGCTCCTAGCATGAAAAACGTTGATGGTGTAGGCCCAACAGCATCACAAACCGCCCGCATAATGTGGCGGATTCTCTGGATTTGCCTGCATGCAAGACAGACTGGATTTGTGACCACAAATCAGCATTACAAATTTCGAAAAGCACACCTTTTCAATATGGGGAGGGGGGATTTTTCCCCACAATACTTAATACTTTCTCGGGCAGCTGCAGTAGTTCACGCAGCGCGATCGGAGGAACGTCTAGTAACCAGAACCACCAGGAGCAGCTCGTCCAGTATAATTTCTCTACTGACGGCGGCAACGGTTCTTACAAACAGGACGCTAGTTGTCAACAACATTCTACGACGAGCTGCAACCTGATCGAGCAGCATCAAGGTAGTTCGAACCAATTTCATTCACACATGATGGTCAACGGAGTGGGGAAAGCGAACTACTACAACAACGGGAATGCAATGCACAGCGAGAGTTTGTCCGCGGTCCATCTCCAAAATCAGATGAGTATCCAGCGAAATATTAACCAGATACGGTAGCAGGAGCAGGAGGTCGCTTGTGAGGAGTGGAAATTATGGGTAAAGCGATGTTGACCAACATCCCGGATAAAGATCCACGACTCCGGATTGCTCTGTCTCCAAGATGAAACTGTGTCATTGAGAAGCAGAGGGAGACACGCTGTCCTTTGGCAGTAGCAAATTTATTGTGTAAGATAGTAAGATAGGCCGAAGTAGCAATAGCAAGAAGAAGCACTCTCCTGACCAGTAAGGAGTAGAACCAAAAATTACGATGCGTGTATGATTGGCAGTGAAATAAAAAACAACGACCGAGAAAACAAGCACTTACTACCTGTATAATGAAGAGAAAATAAGTCACAATTTAAAAGTCTCATGCTTTCATAGGAGCTTTTTTCGTTTTCAGTTTTGACAATTTTGCCGAACAAGTTCATGGAGTATCAATTTGTGTGCAGCTGCAGTGGCACTCACACGAACAAGATGAAAAATCATAATAGCGAGCTACTGCATGCATTTTCATTCTCTTCAAGTCGACCGACCGAGTGGTCAACAGTGAGTATAACAGCAATTGATGACAGAGGTACTTTTGGGGGAACGCACAGCTAAGTCATCTCAGTACTTAGTAGATTTTTCATATTAGCACGGACAAAAGTTAAAATAATTCTGCATAGTCCTTCTTTCTGCGACCATTTTTTTGACGCCGAACCGCTGCTGCGCCGCGCCCGAGTGCAAGTTCTCCGTACCGGGGAAGCGCGCCGGCGAGAGCGTCAACTACGCACGGGACTACGACTCGCGACCGATCTCCACCAACGCGGACTACCGCATGTACGAGGTCCGACACCACGAGAACGCCTGCCCCCTGGTGCAACAAGTCAGTGCGAAACGGTGGCCGGCCACCACGCTGGCGGACACTGACCTAAACGTCACGGGGGAAGTGCGCCGTGCAGTAGAGGCGTGCACAGGGGAGCTCGATAAGAAGGGTAAGCCCACGGAGATTGCAAAGCTAATCGACTTCACCGGGCAGGCGAACATCTTGCGCGAGATCGAAACCCCAGAGCAGCCCGCGCAGGACCTCCAGACTGAGTATTGCAACATTGTGAGAGAGGTCTGCAGCTGGTCGGACTTCGACATCACGCCGGACCTTCCGAACCTGCCCGAGCTGTACGCGGACTCCACGTTGCCCCGCCCCCGCAGCTGGCGGATCCGCGAGATCAGGTGTGCGTGCATCCCCTGTCTCCGAACAAACTCGCTTAGGCCGAAGAAGCTTGGCTCACTCCGCCTCGCGTTCATCCACATGCGAGTCAACCAGCAGCAGGCCACAGAGGAAAAGTTTGCGGCGGCGTTTGCACCCCCGCCCCCGCCACCGCAGCCACAAAGACCGCTGCCAAAGCGCAAGCACAATGACACCCCGCCGCGGGTCAAGCAGGCGCTCGAGCTGCGGGGGGCAAGCAAGTCCCTCCCGGCGGGGGTCACTTACAACAAGAAAACGCAGAAGCTGTTAGTGACGGTCCGAGTGAAGATGGACGACGACGGGGAGACCTACCCACTGAGCAAAGTGGTCGACCCGGAATTGTCCGCAACGGCCGAGGAGGCGCTGGAGGCCGCACAGCAAGCCCGCAAGGACGTGCTTGCGAACTACCGCGAGCGGGTCGACGCCATCCGGGCGCAACGCGCGCAGCGAGCTGAGGCCCCCGCCCCGCCGCTCGGGGGTCTCGCACAATGAAGTCGAAGAAAGGAAAGAATTTGTTCTGAAATTGAAATCAAGAGGTTCTTCACGGTGAAGTTCCTCAAATAGACTCCTCATTTTGAGTAGAAGTCTCGCGTACTAAACGCGAACACTGTAAACTGTAAACTGTAAATGGCTCTGATTCGCATTTCGGATAGAGCATCAAGTTTTAGCGTATGCCGGGTTGGTTCCAGAATACTGTGGAAGTCCTCGGTAAGAGCGGTCTACTTTCCCAGGATCAAGAAAGAAACTGAAGTTTACAGGTCTCGAGTTCGAGAAAAAAAAAAGCAGTGTTGCGCAGACTGTCCTACTTCTCGTGGGGCAGCTGCAGGCTGTCCTGGTTTCTTTAGTTTTAAGTACATTCATTCAGCGTCCGCGTTCTTCTCCAATAGGGCCATGCACGAGCAGCTGCCTAGAGGATCTTCATTTGACCACACAATGTAGAGGCCCAAAACCAAAAGTAGTTGCAGGATCCATTTACAAGTCTATCGAAGCAGTATGAAGCAACGCATTTTTGTTTCCAACGCAGAAGAAGATCCGCCTCCGAGCCTCACAACTTGCTTACTGCTTGGATTTGCGAACGATCTGGTGTCAGTCTGTTATTTTGATGAACACAACTACTTTATCCGCCATTTTACTAGTTTTGAAGCGAAAAACAAAGATCACGTGAGCTTTCTATCGAGTAAGGAAACTTCTCTCAAAACAACGTAAAATAAAAGCACATCAAATAACTTGTGTTGGTCACTAGACAAGTATAGGAGACGAAGCGCGATAGTACAGCGAGCAATTATCAAGCTCGTAAGCACGCCCGTTTTACTCTACGCAGTACAACGAGCCCGTTGTTTCCACCTAAGCTACTCACAGTATCCTCAACACCACCGAAAAAGAAAAGAGCCATGGATGTCACGCTGGAGAATTTCGATCAGCTCTTGCCGGTCATCGAGCAAGAAATCGAGGCTGCGGACTATATCAGCATCGATTTGGAGATGACGGGAATCCGCAACCCGAGTGAAAAACCGAGCTATTTTCTGGACTTGCCCAACATTTTGTACAAGAAGAATCGGGAGATCGTGAACGCCTTTGACATCATGCAGATCGGGATCTGTTGCGTGAAAAAGCAGAAACATGATACGGCAACCGGTCGTACTTCAGGTGGAAGTCCATCAAGCAAAAATTCCCGTGACAACTCACCTTCGTACAAGCTCACGCCCTTCAACTTTTATGTGTTAAAACGATCCATAGACCGGATCCAGAAGACCCTGGTGACGTTGGACACGGAAACGCTGATGTTTCACACGGAAAACAAGTTCGACTTCCAAAAGTGGCTGCAGTTTGGGATCGGGTTTTGCGACTCCAAAATCGAGGAAATGCTGATGGCGCAGTTCCGGCAGGAGGCGGCGTCGTTCCAGAGCATGAGCGAGGCGCTGGCGGGGTTATCCAAAGATGCAAAGAATAATGAATATCGACGCAATTTGACGTTATTATTGACGGACCTGCTCTTGTAAGTACATGCTTTATTCCAGGATCTTCCCACTTTGCAACTAGAGCTAGACCACACAAATTATTTCGGTCTGTCTGTCGTGCAGCGAAGATATAACTCAGCATGCAAAACCGCACAAGAAGAAATAGTTTTCTCACGAATAAGTAAGTGGGTGTGTCTGCTCGTCACGTATGCAGATGTTCTCGTCTTTATGCGATATTGATAGGGGGTTTTTCGAAAATTCCATATGCTACAGCCCAGAACAACAAGAAGCAAGACTTTAACGTCGGTGGCGGAATCACGTTGGAACGGAAGGATGACCGCGACTGGTTCGAAAATCTGTGGACCAGCGAGATCAAGCCTTTCTTCGACAAGGAGAACAGCAAGACCAACCTATCAAATGTAAAAATGTCTGGGTCTGGAAGAATGCAACTTGTCATGCTAAATCTGAAGAATGCAAAAATCTGTGTTGCATGATTACCAAAAGTCGTCCAATTCTGACCAAGTCGGGAGGGAGTTTCTCATGCAGGATAGGCATGAGAGAGATCGCACAGAATCTGTCATGCTAGGTCCTGCATTCCAAACCTCAGGGGTCATGGAAAAGCTGCATGACAAATCGCGCATTCTTCCAGACCCAGACACTTTTGCATCTGATACAACCCGGAGGAAAACAAGTTCAAGCTGCCCAACATGAACGCGTTTTATCCTGAGTAAAAACGTCCCCAGAGTCAACCTGGGGATTTTGCAACACAAACCTAGAAGTTTTGGGACTCACGCAACACAAGTTGCAGTCCGTAGTGTAGTGCAGGTTAGCAACGACAAACGCATCACAAATCCATCTGCTTATCCTGGTTACAGCATTACAAATCGCAAAACATGACTAGAAACGCCTCTCATGGACGAGATGCGCAATACAAATGTTCCTGTCATTGCAAATCTGCATCACAACTCTGGGGTTGTAGGGACGGTTTTACAAATGATACGTTTCGCGCCAAGTTTATCCGCCAGCAACTGGCGCGGCAGTATCCGGACTCCTACGTCGACTCCTACACCGATTCGCAAGCGCAGTATGCGTATCAAATGCAAATATCGATCTGGGTCTGGAAGGATGCGAGGTTTGTCATGCGCATTTTGCATGGCCCCTAATGTCCTCTGTGATGCATTCCCTAGCATCACAGATTTTGTGATGGCTTTCTGATGCCTAGACTGCATGAGAAATGCCCTCTCGCCGTCGCAAAAACTGGACCTCTTTTGCTGTTCGTGCAACACAGAGTTTTGTAGAATCCAGATGCAGCTGCATCACAAGTTGCATCCGTCCAGACCCAGATCGATATTTGTAATGCATAACGCGCAAACGCAGAGGGTAGTGTACCGATCCGTCACCTTGCAGGAGAAGGAGAAGCTGGAAAAGGAGAAGACGGACCGGGAAGTGCGGAAATTCGAAGAGCGGAAAAAATCTATCACACAGAAAATGTTGAAAATGATTGAGAAGTTTGTGCTAGTCCGTTTTGGAATACTATTTGATTATTCCTCGCTCTCGAATTTCAATTTTGTTTTGGTGCGCCGCTACGGCGCACCAACTTTGTTGCGGCGCAACGACCTTTCTGGTGCCTATCAGATGCCCGGCGCAAGAACTGTGTCCGGCGCTTATCTCTCTGTCCGGCGCCCAGTGTCTAGCGCCTATTTATTTATGTCCTGCGTCTGTTTTTCATTTTCTGGCGCCTCGCTTCCGGCCGCCTTATTTTCCTAGCGCCAGCCTTTTTAGTGTCCGGCCTCTTTTTCTCTAGCCATGTGCGGCGCCTTTTGTCCTCGCGCCTCCTTTGTTGGCCTCGCCTGGCGCTCGTTTGTCCGGCCCCTTTTTAATACCTGGCTGGCCATCCAATGCCCGGCGCCTTTTTTCTTCTGGCGCCTCTATCATCCTAGGCCGCCAGTTTTCATGTTCGGTGATGAGAGCACCGCGCAGAACCGATTGGTTTGTCGGATCGTCGGGGTTTTTCCCTATACCTGTTTTATACAATTTTTCTTTTGGAGGTCACTAGCACTGGCCTAAAAGTAAAATTCGAGATTTCAAGAAGTAGACAAAAGGGGCGGGCGAGCAAAAATTATATAAGCCTTTTCATCGCAAGAGTTCCATATCCCACCTCCGCGCGCGCGTCGGGTTCCGGCACATTTGGTCAAAAATCAAGCTGAATGGCTGCCCGGTGATACTCCACAATGGGTTTTTCGACTTGCTTTTCCTGTTTCACAACCTCGAAACCCCGTTGCCCACTATCAAGTGCAAAAATGTCTGGGTCTGGAAGAGTGTAGGCTTGTCATGCAGATTTTCCATGACCCATGAGGTCTGGAATGCGGGACTTAGCATGACAGACTCTGCGAGGGCTCTGCCATGCTTATTCTGCATGAGAAACTCCCTTCCAACTTGGTCAAAAGTGGACAGCTTTTGGCACTCATGCAACACAGATTTTTGCATGCTTCAGATTTACCATGACAGGTTGCAATCTTCCACACCCAGACATTTTTGCAGTTCATACCCACCGACCTGAAGCACTTCCGGCGCGAGTTTGTGAAGCGGGTTCCGCTATGCATTGCAAATAAGTCTGGGTCTGGAAAGTTGTGATGCTAATGATCGCATGATGCGCGGCAACCTGTATTACGTGGCTGCGCATGACAAGTTTCTGAGCGGCCATGTCTAGCGTTAATCGCATGAGAAATCATCGCCTTTTTGCATGACAAACAAGTCACGCTGTAGCACAACAAGCATGACAGACTTTTCTGTCTTGTCGGCCAAGCATGACAAACTTACTTGCACTCTTCCACACCCAGACATGTTTGCAAATGATACCCGAACCCGATTTTGGACACCAAAATCCCGTCCGACGTCTATTACAGTGAAAAGTGCCCCCCACCCCCAAAGTTGCAAAAATTTGTGATGCGAAGTTTCCAAATGAAACCTTTTTGTCATGCATGAAAGGAACATGAATCTTTCTGATGCAGATTCTAGTGTTGTTTCGCATCGCTTGCATGACAAGCACCGCTCTTGCTGGGATCTTTTGCAATACAAATTTTTGCTATTCACGATTGGAAAGCTGTGATGCTGATACATGCAAGAGGGCCAATGTTTCATTTGGAAAGGTTTGCAATACAAATGCTTTCAAGTTCGGGGGTGGGGGCATTTTTCATTGTAATAACGTCGACCTGAAATTGAAGTACGGCGAGCAGGAACTGCCGTTTAGCTCCTTGGAGGAGGTCCACAACCTGTTGACGAAGTTCCACCCGGAGTTTATCGGAAAAAGGTTCAGCGTGGTGAAATCTCTGCAGGAGTTGCAGAAGCAGTACTTGTATCAAATGCAATGTCTACTTTGTGTGTCTACTTTGTCATGCATCTCATGGATAATTGCCTCGGTGGTCTGGAATGCACAGAGGAGCAATGTCACAGATTGCACAAGGGCTTCTTAATGCCTTGTACTCATGAAAAATTCGCGTTCTTTTGCGTAAGCAAGAAGTGGGCAGGTTTTGGCGTAGTTCCTGCAACGCAGATGTTTTTGCATTGGATCCAGACTCGGCATGAGAAGTTGCACAATCTTTCCAGACGCAGACACATTTGCAATGCATAGCTTGGAACTGAACGGCAACACCGCCGAAACCGCAGGAGCGGGGGAAAAGCTTGTGGCTGCGGATCCAATACTTCCCGAGGACGAGAAATACCACGATGCCGGCTTCGACGCCTTGCAAACGGCGAAGGTGTTTCTCGGCCTGACCACGCAGGAAAAATTTACCTGCGAGCCGAATGTGTTGCCCTTGTCTGGGCGACACCTTTTCCGGGTTCTGTTGCAGCAGGACAGCGTCACGAGCAATGGGTCCGCAAGATTTGCTGCAGAATCGTCTGAGCTTCATCATAGCGCAGGGCTGGAGCCGCCGGTGCAGCGGCTGATCCCAGATCCGAGTGTGGAGGAGAGGAACAATATCAAAAGGAAAAATCCCCCCTCCCCATATCGAAATAGAAATCTGTGATGCGGGATTTGTGTACACAAATCGGCTTTGTCTTGCAGTAGAGGACTGCAGGCAGATACAGAGCGGCAGGAGGGGCGTTGTGGTATAGCCGCCTAACAAGGCAGGCATATCCTCCGCAGGCCGTGCAGCATTACAAATTGCCTGCGGAACGCGGCCAGGTTTTGGGATTTGCCTTCTTGCAAGACAGAGACGATTTGTGGTCTCAAATCAGCATCATAAATTTTCGGGAGTATTCCACTTTGGTATGGGGAGGAAGGATTTTTCTTCACGATAAACAAGGGGGACAAGAAAAACAAAAGAATTTCCCATGTGAAAGTGTTTTATGCAACATGGAGAAAAGACTTTCTCTCTAGCATTATCGTATACAGCTACAACATGAAGTGAGGCTGGTGGCGATTTTTTGCATTCTCTACTAGTACCACTGGGAATTATGAAATTTGTGTCTGTCGATGTTGTATGTAGAGCTGTGGACCAAGAAAATTAGAGTGCGATGACGCAGTTTCTTTTCGCAAGTTGTACATGTTCCTACGGTTATCGGTAGTCTTTTCCCGCTCGATACTTCTGCCAACATCACGAACGTTGGGCTTACTCAGGGCGCAATGAGTGGCAACAACCAGGCGAACTCGCAGTCCCAGCACCAACAATCGTCCAACTCGCTCGCCCGGCTGGATTTCAACGCGATGCAAACCGTTCTCGGGAAGGTCCTCGGGATGGAGGAGAATAAATCGCTGCAAGCGAGTAATTTCACCCTCCAGCACTTTCGCTTTCTGCACGAGGGAACCGCACTTGCCGTGATTGAGGAGGACGTGTATGATGGTGGTCTTCATGCTGCCGGAACGTCAGACAAAGGGACCACTACAACGACAACAAAGGCCAGCACGTCGACAGCAGGGACAAGCTATCAAATCGGCACCCTGCTAGACAAGCTGCAGCATGCGTTCAAAACGGAGAAGAACTTTCACTTCAACGTCTGCGAGCTGCCGGAATACGAGGACGCCATTGAGTCTTCGTTATGAGAAGTAGAGCACACAAGAGTTATTGATTTCCTCCCGTCCTACTTGTTTGGAGGGCCTGAGCAGCAACAGTCTCTGCATGGAAAATCGAGCTTCTGTATGGAGTGTAGTACTGTTTAGATGAATGGTGCATAGAATGATGCAGTACTACTTGTGACACAGGCATTAGCGAGAGTTGGGGTTCTTTTGCATGGCAAATGATTGGCATTAGGTGTGTTTTTGTGCTCTTCCATATTCCTTTGTCTCCGTCTCCAAGGATCACGCTTCCTCGACGAAAAATTCGGGCACGAGTGGAGCAGGAGGGAACACCAAGCCCGCGATGACCGCTGGAACGGCAAATCATGTTGGAGGTGACCATAGTACGACCTCCTCTGTGATGAACTTATCTGGTGGCGACGTGGGCAGCAGCTCCATGGATCGCACGCGCAGCAGTGCGACAGATGGTCGGGGCGGTGGCTCGCAGTACCAGGAGCGGGTTGGGAACGCGAGCATCCTCGTTATCGATGAGGACGTGGATATGTTGACGAAGCCAGCGACCACAGCTGGGGGAATGACGAAGAAGGGCGGTAAATCTTCGGAGCAAAACCAGAATGGAAAAAATACGGAGAACCAGCACACCAAGAGCGAGTCGAAGGAAAATGACAGGAACAACATCAGCCACAAGCCCGCGTTGTATCATAATCACAACAAGATTTTTCTGACGAAGGTGGAGAAAACCAATATCATCGGGAATTTCGGCAATAACTTCAATCGCGGAGGTGCCGTGAAGACAAATCGGCACGTGCCGGAAGTCAGCGGAGAAAACTTGCTGTTCTATCCACCGGCAAAACGGCTGAAGTCTTCGGAATGATGACGTAGACCGGGCTGTTGTATGACGGGTAAAAATTCTACGGCTTTCACGAGATGGAGACCTCCGATGCAATGGCCGGTCTTGCTGCGAGTGGCTGAAGAAGATGATCAACGACGAGTATGCACTGGCAATAACTCTTGTACCTGAAGACGATCTTGCGCCTGCCCTTTCGGAGCGACATCCTTTGCCTTGCGCAGGCTATTAGAGTTGTCAGTTTGATGAATGGTGCAGCTTCGGAGCAGTCAAGGCAATAATGTAATTAGTTGTGTCACCAGCTCTACTCATTTGCAAGAGATTTTTGCAAAAGGCATGATCTTGTTCACAAAGCAAAAGACAACTCCTAGGCTGGCATCTACGCCAGGCAAGACGCCTCGCCTCGCGCGTTACTTGGTACGCGGAGCAGGCTGCCCGGCTTTTCTGCCTCCGGATCTCGTTCCGCAATCTTGCGGGACAACGTTCGGAGGCAGAGGTAGATCACCATCCTGGCCAGCCAACGAGATGCTTGCCCCTGTGATGGCTGCCGCCAAAGCGGCAGGGTTTTGGTCAGGGTTTTGCTCCGAAAAGG